ATACTGATGATGTGGTCACTTACAGACACATAAGGCCTCCGATTCTCTAATTAAGTCATATCCAGGCACATTATGGGCTTACATGCCTATTTTTAGGGCACTACAAACAAAGTGACTTCCTAACTTAAATTTGACTCAGTAGGAGAGTGCACAGTAGCTTCTGTTATTGTCTGCGCGTTTAAACACAAATTACAACATTTTTTCACGTCAAACGGTGGGAGTTAGTGCGTAGACAATCCTGGAAATGCCCATCATGCATTTCTTACTACTCGACCTCTAATATGATTTAGATTCATTCGACACTGCTAAGTTTTATATATGAAGTTGAAATGGACGAAAGCATATTAACGAAAACAGAATCATTGCTTTTGCAAAAAAGTGTGCTATCGACTGGTGTTTTCAGAGAATTGGTACGTTCATTCTGCTCACCCACTCCTTCCTGGGTTCTGAACCACACTCACTCCATTTTTTCCACTTCCAACTCTCGTTCACTTTAAAATTCTAATTGACAATTAAAGAGAAGAGTTTAAAAATACTCTTCAAACCCACAAATATCGGTAACTTCTCGGTGGTATGCTGTACAATAATCATGTTAGTCAAATGGTTGCTTTACATTTGCCTGTAAGAAACAGAGTTGTCTCTAGTAGTGGCTTACGTTGCCTTTAGTCTTCCGGATTCTGGAGATTCTCACGAATTAAATTTTTATCCTTTTTCACGCTTGTTTTTGTTCACTACAGGATAATTGCATTTCTACCTTCATTCGTGCTTCCTTATTGCAAGTGTAGTAGGTGAGTCAAGTATGCTTTTATGCAGATTTCTAATTTGATCCATTGGTTACTCGCATAAAGAAAGCACTGGAAAGGAAAGTCCTCATTGTTTGAGCGTACCCTACTCACACAGTTTGATTAGATGGATATATAACAATTCAGAGGAGCAACGATAAGTGCTGCTGCTTTTTAATGTTGTCTACTTGTTGAGATTACCTTAGAAATGGGCCCTCACAAAGGCAGCTATGGCCGACAGTCGTCAATTTATTCCCATGTTTAACTTTAAATGTCTACGCTTAAAGCGTCAAGCAGAACGAAGCAGAATGCTTCACAGTGCATGGTCATTTGCTCGATACCATATTACACTTCCAAAGATAAGTCATGTTGGCAGACACTGAACGAGTCTTTGCTCGCGCTAAGGTTTTGTCAGCAATCAGTCTGTTAATGCTTATGTAAGTCCCTGAATTTGTCACCACCCGACGATTCCACTACTTATCCGTCAACTAGGTGTTGTTCCAAATCAATGCTGCAGCATCATCTTAGTTTTACAGTGGAAAATCGGGTGTCAGACACTTGTTTAGAAGACTACATTTTGTTATATCTAAAAAAGCAATATCTGTTTGTTCTAGAGCAGTAACTACCCTCTGGTAACATGTCTATCTGAAACCAGGGTCGGACAGCGTCGCACCCACCAGTACAACAGACACTCCTGAAATTGTCATTGTAACTGAACACTTTTAAAAATTTACATTATTCTGTGGTTACGAGTAGTGTGTCTCAATAAGTACAGTGTGCTTCTCGGCACTTATTTTACAGAAACTGATTTCCACAGCACATTTTCGACTACAGAGTCTAGGTAGGTGCTACTGTGTTTGCATTCTAGATTCCGACTGAGAATAGGATCAATACACCCTCTCTCGAGCGTGCAGCCCGTCTGATTTCTTGATTTTGTTTTCGTCAAACTTCACAGGCCTTACAAATCGATGGAGCTATGTTAGTGCCCACATTACTTATAAGTAGCCCTCTCTCCTGGCTTGGATCTGCATCCTCTCCTTAGCCGATCTGGATTAAACTGCATAGATTGATAGGCATGTACTTAGCTTCTGCTCATGAGTGGTTAAAAACCATACTTATGTTCCTACAGCTGACCGCATATGATTCCAGACTTCGGCGGAATAAGCGTTGCTGTCATTTTCAGGTGTTTTTATTTTTGCTTTCTTAAATATAAACAGATTAAGCCAATAAAGGACGACAATGGAAAGTCAATCACCAAAGAGGTGGAACAGAGAAAGCACTGGGCTGAACACTGACCCCCCGACGAAATCAGAAGTCCTGAATGCAATCAAGATGCTTAAAGCTGGGAAAACACCAGGACCAGATGGAATCCCAGCAGAAGCTTTGAAAATAGACCCAGAGACAACAGCGGACTTGATGACACCACTGCTGGAGAAGGTGTGGAAAGAGGGCAAAGTACCCGAGGATTGGAAGAACGGATACTTATTCAAACTACCAAAGAAAGGAGACTTAAGTCAATGTAAAAACTGGCGTGGAATTATGCTTCTGTCCATTCCAAGCAAGATACTAAGTCGCATCATCCTGGAGAGAATCAAACAAGCCCTGGATGAAAAACTTCGTCCGGGACAGGCCGGATTCAGGAGAAACAAATCATGTATTGATCAAATCGCCACTCTACGGATCATCATTGAACAAAGCTTGGAATGGCAGTCACCTCTCTATCTCAACTTCATCGACTTTGAAAAGGCCTTCGACAGCGTTGATCGAGAGGTCATTTGGAAACTACTTCGCTACTACGGGGTCCCATCAACAATTATACATCTCATCCAACAGTTATACGACAATGCTGCATGCCAAGTAATCCACAACGGGAAACTTACGGAAGCCTTCGAAGTGAGGACGGGAGTGAGGCAAGGCTGTCTACTATCACCAATGATCTTCCTGATTGCAATTGATTGGATAATGCGACAGACAACGGCAACCAACGAGGGAACAGGCATAAAATGGACTGACACAAAAGACTTGGAGGATCTGGATTTCGCCGTTGATATATGTCTGATTTCCCACAAACTGGAAGATATGCAAGTGAAAAGCAACAAGCTGGCAGAACAAGCATCAAAGATAGGACTTCAAGTGAACATAGATAAAACAGAGGTGATGAAGATTCCTGGCCAACACCAACAGTAACAACAACAACAGACGACAGTCAGCATAAGTGGGAAGAACCTGAAAGAAACAGCCTCCTTCACCTACCTGGGAAGCATCGTCTCAACTACAGGCGGATGGAACTGACGAGGATATCAAAGCCAGAATCGGAAAAGCAAGACAAGCTTTCATTACTCTCAAATCTGTGTTGAGGTCAACATCACTCAGCATCGAAAATAAGATCCGGATTTTCAACTCCAATGTGAAGTCAGTCAGTGCTACTATACGGATCAGAGACTTGGCGAGTCATAAAGAGCATCTCAAACAAACTTCAGACCTTCATTAACAGCTGTCTTCGCTCAATACTCAAGATCAGATGGCCAGAAAAGATCAGCAACAGGGATCTCTGGGAGCGAACCAATCAGGAACCGATTGTGAAACAAATAGGCAGGAAGAAATGGAGATGGATTGGCCATACGCTGAGGAAACCATCAAGTGACATCACTAGACCAGCCGTCGCTCGAGTGGAACCCGAAAGGGAGGCGGCGAGTTGGTCGTCAGTGCAAGGGTGACTTGGAGGAGGTCATGCGAGGAGGAGATGAAAGCATGTGGACAGACCTGGAGCAGGGTGAAAAAGTTGTCAGAAAACGAAGGCAATGGAGGTGCGCAGCTGAAGCCCTATGTTCCTCTAGGAACTAAAGGATACAATAATAATAATAAATATAAACTTCAAATTCTCGTCGAAAAGCCAGTCTCAAGGTTTGTTCACTGGCCCAGTTTTTACTCCAATCATAGTTATTCACGCCCACAAACGTTTCAAATTAATACTGACCAGGAGAAAATGTTTTTCTGAACAGAATTGTAAACTATATTGACTAGTGTGTTTCGGCATGGAAATATATCGATAGATGCTTTTCAGAGTACCAGCTTCCCTACTTAACATTACAATCACTTTCTAAGATGACAATAACTGAGCGTTATTCTTTTAACAACTAATTTTACAATTTTTAGTAAAACATTGAAAGTGCAACCAGTTGATGAGTTAGCTGACAACTTGGAAAGGCATTAAGGAGTGTCAATCTTTCCTTGACGTGAAGGCAGAATTCGACTCCGTCGACCGAGAAGAATTATGGTGATGTCTGGCTGTGAGTAGAGTGCGGAGGAAGTGCACAGCAGCTGATCAAGACACTACTCGAACTCGCAGCTGTGTAAGAGCTTACGGGGAGTTGTCATCTGAAGTGGTGACAACCAGTGGTGTCTTTCAAGTTAGAGTATACCGATTATACAGTCCTCGATGAGCAATGTTAGCTAACATTAGATCAGGTTGGAAAAGAGTCAGTCTATGAAATTTTTAAGTTAGAGCTAGCGACGTAGGGCGGTGTAGACTACTTGGTTGGGGTCCTCGGGATACTAGGAAATGGCTGGGGACAAGTTGTGATATGGCTCAAAATCGTTCTAAATGGCAAAAACGCGTTCGCTCTCTGTGATCTACCATATCCAAAACAACCCTATTATTTTTCAGTGTTACTACTCCTTCTTCCCCACACTTCCACTTATCATTGCTCTTTTTGAATCTCTTTTTTCTTGTCTTCCTTTATGTGTTAAATGAAGTGTCAACTTAAACTGGTGCACTTCTAGTGAAAGTTCTGTGTTGAAACCAGTCAGTTGTTTTACCGATCCATCCAGTCGAGGAATACACAGATGACTCTACTGAAACCTAACCAAATAGTGAGTTTTCTGGTCTGAGCTAGTTACTATCTGTACGGCAGCAAGTCCATGAACTTGAGTCAAAGTCTTCTGGTATCTCTGGTGAGAATTCTATAGATTCACTGTAGTGGCTAGGTAGAGTTAAGTAAATTACCATATACAGGTTTTGTTTCTGCGCCTCAAGGACGAATCATACAAAGCCCAAGATTCCTGACATATTACTGATATGATATGCGTTGTTCTATGGCGTAAGGTGTAGGCGTTGAGAGCTCCAGGGTGAATATGGCAACGTAGTTTTACTCAACTGGGGACTTTGTTTCTATGGCTCAAGAAGATGAAAAGACTGACTCAGAAAAGGTATTAATGAAATGAAAGCGAATTAATGGTGGTTAATAAATGGAAGACTTTCATCTGTTTATAAAAGTGTCTGAATGACGGCTACTTTCCGACTGTTTATACTATATGAGTTGATTTCTTTGTGAGGTACCTGAAAGAAAAGACTGGATATGTTGTTGCGCTACCAAAGAGTTCATAAGGAAATGACTTGAAAGCACCAGCAACCTGTTTCCATGTGATCTTTGTGTATTTTCCATACAATGACCCTTCTGCCAGAAATTACTTTTTAAATCTACTTCTGAAGTGCAGTTACCATCTTGAGTTATGGATATACTCTCCGCTGAGTACAATAACTAAATTTGACAGGCTTCATGAAATATTGGGGATAAAGATACATTTGAGTAGGAAACAGTAGATCATTGGGTTAAAGCGTTGAAGGTCTAGAAAAAGTTTGAAACAAATGAAAATATGTCAGTTCTACTCTATTATGTTCCTAGTCACATCACCTAGCGCTTTTATCACCTAGGAACCTGTTACAAAATCTTCATTGCTTTTTGTCTCACTGGAATATCGCTCACTTAAAAATATTTTTGAAGCCTGTTGTTAATTTTAGTTTCTATCGTATGTAATATTAGTCTAAATATAGAAGTGTTATTGACCATACACCTGGTCGTCGTTCCACAAAATGAGCGGGAGATATCGATCACTGCCTAAGCCAAGGATACTTTCTTTTGATCAGTTATTCCTATCTTCTAATAGGTATATTTCCTTTGGTTTAATCTCTTCTACATTTTATCTTCCTAGGTCAAGTTACACATCGAATTTTACGTAACCAGTAGTAGTGATGTTTGGAGCGAATAAGCGTAAGTTTTGCTGTTCAACTGTTCATAACTACCTTTAGCTACATTTGGTGCAAGCTCTAGTTCTGCTTTTGGTCAAAGTAAGTTACTTTTTTTGATGACATTGACTTTCCTCTTAGGTACTACGCCTTTCGGCGCTACATCCAATCCCCAAACACAAACGGGTACAAACTTATTTGGCCAGCAATCGACTAGTCTAGGTGGAACAAATACACTGTTTTCTGGAAATCAATTGAATACACTTTCATGGGGATCTACAAATATGAATGCAAATGGTACATCGATTGCATTTAATCCACCAATTACAACTGAAATATTACAACGCGGTGGTCAACCTTCACAAGTGAATGCTAAGCATATGTGCATTACTGCTATGAAGGAGTATCAAGATAAAAGTCTTGAGGTAAATCGAGTTAAAAAGAATCTTTTTTATATATCTAATATGAGCAGTTTCGTACTTTATTTTTATAAGCTTTCAATTCTAATATTACGTATTCAGCAAATGCTCAGTGGTACAAAATTCTATTCAACTGAAAATAACTCAGCATTTATTACTTATAAAGTATACTATAGTCAAATGTTTCTTTATTTTCTACATTTTTTAACCGTTCCCTATAAATCATTTTTAAGAAGTTATCACTAATTGTAATCAACGATTAGAGTTTTTACTATATGAAATTTTTTTATAGATTTAAAATGAATAATGATATTAAAAGAGTCATTATGTTTCTTGACCTAAAGGCTGAATTCGATTCTGTCGACCGAGAGGTTCTCTGGCAATGCTTGGCTGTAAAGGGAATGACGAGAAAATACATTGCACTGATTAAGGCACTCTACTCGTACTCATGCCATCAGCCAGGTGAGGGCTTACGGCGAGTTGTCATCTGAACTGGTGACGACTAGTGGTGTCCATCAAGTATGCCCATTATCCCCATTTCTATTCAACTTCATCATGGATGTACTAATGGACTTAACCCTAAGTGACTTCAGTGACTCAGGGATTGACTTGCTACCATCAGGGAATAATCTCGTTGACTTGGAATATGCAGACGATATAGTCCTACTAGGCGAGGACTCGGAGAAAATGCAGAGTCTTCTAAACACCTTGAGCTGCAATCTACGAATGTTTGGCATGCGATTTGCTCCCACCAAATACAAGATAATGTTACAGGACTGGACTACATCGACGCCTAGTTTTAAAAATAGGAAGTGAAGTGGTAGAGCACGTTTACCGCTTCACTTATTTGGGAAGTACCATCAGCCAGTGCTAACGGGTTGATCTCTGACGAAATCTCAGCACGGATACAGGGAGCTCGTTTTGCATTTGCCAGTTTACGCCGTCTCTGGCGTAGACGAGATATTCGACTATCGACTAAAGGGCGGGTGTATTGCTCATCAGTCCGCTCCGTCCTCCTTTATGGCTGTGAGACCTGGCCATTCAGAGTGGAAGACATGAAAAGATCAGCTGTCTTTGATCATAGGTGCCTGCGTTCTATCTCCCGTGTGAAGTGGCATAATAAGGTGAGCAATATTGAGGTTAAGCACGGGTCGAGTTCTAGGTAAACAGGGGAAATCAATCAACGAGGCTGTGAAGCTACATCGACTGAGAGAAATGGTTAGGACATGTGTTACTAATGAATACCTAGTCATCGCCTCCCTCGACGAGCTATGTTAGCGGATATAGGGTCAGGCTGGACAAAAGCTAGTGGAGGTCAAACAAAAACATGGTACTAGTCAATGAAATCTACAACGGTTAGTCTAAGCCAGGTAGGAAGGTGTAGACTGGCTTCCTGGTTGGGGTCCTCGGGACGGTAAAAACCAATGGTTGGAAACAGTTGGTGACATGGCTCAAAATCGTTCTCAATGGCTGACGCAGATGCATCCACTCCCTGTGACTTATGATTTCCAATGAAACTTTATTGTCCTTCGTTATTACTCTTCCTTTGTCTCACACCTCTGCTTACTGTCTCTATTATGCTTTTCTTGTACTTTCTTCTGTTGCTTTGTGTGCTACAAGGAAGGAATGTGGCGATTTGAACTGCCGCACCTATGTGCAAAGTTCTATGTCAAAAACAGACAGATAGTGGTTCGCACATCCTACCATTGAACCACCGATGAATTCATGATATCTGCTACACCATAGTCAGTGATCAGTTTGAACTTAACTCCAACTGCCCATTACAATGTAACTTCTTGGTATTTAGCGACCACTTTTAAGTTAGGATCGTTACGAATTCGGTTCATATTGATACTATGAAAAAGAATTATTCACTTTAAAGAAACATTTGAAATTTTGTGTATTAAACTGATGCATATCATGTGAATGTAACACCGTATCTTTGAAGCTGTTTTGGGTAGTTGAGTAGATTGTCAAGTGCATATATTTTTCTGATTTCGTATTCTGTGGTTGCCTGTGTCAAAATGTGTTACCTGAATTTAATACTGTTGTTTCTAGCTGATAGTATTTCAACACTTAAAAGACTAGTGTTGTTATTTCCATGGCGTATAGATCCTAATTTCTCAATCCGAGACGGTATTCCGGGACACATTTCATTAATTCAATGGGTCGTTTTGAATAACTATGCACAGGTTTAACATAAGGATATACTCAATTTAGGTTTATTATTCACAAGTGATCAAAAGCGTTTCATTGGGAAAATATGTTTATTTGCAGGAACTTCGTTTAGAAGATTATGCTCTAAACCGACGTGGTCCGTCATCAACCGTTGGTAATACTTCAATCTTTGCTACGTCATCCGCTGCAAAACCTTTTCAGTTTGGCTCGTCTCAAATAGGTGGGACAACATCAATTTTTGGTCAGGCTAATAAACCTACAACTTCTCTGTTTGGCGCTTCAACTAGTGGCGTCACTAGCAGTAATACAATGCTTTTTGGCAATACAGCCACTCAGTCAACTTTTGGACAAGCTTCTCAAGGTAATATATCTTTTTTTCGACCTTTTTTTTAGTATTGTCATGAGCTCCGAGTAGAACATATGGGGCCTCAGCAGCACATTTTATTTCACTCTCTTTATTATCTTTTTTATTTGGCTGTATGAATACCCATAAACTTTCATATCACCCTTGGACACACGCCCAACCTGTCCTTTCCCATTCGGGTTCCAGTCGATTTGTATTGGTCCGATAGTTTACTAGCCGGTTCTAAATCCTACTAAAAAGGGAAAGGTAGGTGTGCATCTACCGTCCCTATCCTGTAAAATCAATCCAATCACCAGAGGAGAGATAATTGGAAAGAGGGGAATAATGATCAGGAGGGCTTCGTGTGCTTTTGGAAGTGTGTATGCGGTTGGCTGCCCATTCCGTGGAAGATGATTTATTCTTGGGTTACCCGAAAGATAATTGGTGTTGCGTGACCACAGAGCCCATGGGACAACTGCTTGAGGTCGGTCACACATGGTCTATTTGAAGTGGTTTTTTGGTTTGTTTCCGTATTAGTAAATTTACCGCCGTTTACGGACCACTGTAAGGTAAGTCGGGATGTACAATTTTTGGGGTCGGCCTTTTCTAGCCCCTTCCCTCCAGAGTGGAGAGATAGCATAGCTCACATGCTGGTCATCTGAGAGAAACACCTTACTGCTGTTACATCCCTGTTCTTCAGCAGTACGACTTCGCATAGTGTAAAAAAATCCTTTCACTACGCCGGTAACTGCTTTTAGTCTAGTCGCTATCCCAACAATTTTCCTGGAATAGTATGGCCTGCATGAACATTAGTTCCAGCCAGTATGGCTTGTCGGGTCATTGCGATAGGCAAGCCTAACCATCATGTCAAGGTGGCAGGTATCGGTTGGGATCACCAAAGAAACTTCAGATCACACGTAAATAAAGTTTTCTGATCTTCCCACTGAACTTTTATGTTGTATAAGCTGGTCAGCATGATCCTATTTTAACACTTCTACGCATTGCTAAGTTAGTTAGCTGTCAGAGTTACCCAGCGGTGGGCTATTAGCCACACTTCTTGTGTGGGGGTTAATCACACTACCCAGTTACTTAAGCTGAATTAAGTGATATATATATATATATGATCACGTCGAAGGTGAAATTAGTTCTCCCTCTCTAGGTAATTATTATTAGTACTATTTTGCTTCATATGACTATTTCAGGAAGTCTTTTAGGTTTGAAGCCTCAATTCGGTTCAGCGACTACGGCAAGTATATTCGGGACAACACCAGCAACTCAATCGACTGGATTTGCATTTGGTCAGACAAATCAAAGTAAGCGTTCAATTGGATGAGTACCGTTTTCTTTCTTGCATTTTTGGGTTAATTATTATGTGGTGTTTCTAATAGGTATTAGTGAGTTATTTTTTATAATTCAACATTTTCTGTGCATCTTTATGCGTTAGTTTCTTATCCAGTTTAAGGGTTAATAGTCAGGAGTACGATCAAGTTGTCTAGATCTTTGTTAAGCAATGTGAATTTCAAATTAATGATCTATTATTCATTTACTATTATTATTGCTCCCTTGGGTTCCTAGTGGAACATAGGGCTTCAACTGCACGTCTCCATTTTCTTCTGTCTTCTGCTATACTTTTCGCCTGCATCCATGTTAATCCATATTCTTTCAACTCCTCTTCACACGATCTCCTCCATGTCACCCTTGGACGTCCCACACGCCGCTTCCCTTTCGGGTTCCACTCGAGGGCTTGGCGCGCGATGTCACCCAGCGGTCTCCTCAGCGAGTGTCCGATCCATCTCCACTTTCTCCTGCATATTTGTTGGGCGATTGGTTCTTGCTTTGTTTGTTCCCATAATTCCTTGTTGGTGATTCTTTCCGGCCATCTGATCTTCAGTAGAGAGCGAAGACAGTTGTTAATAAAGGTCTGCAGCCTTTTGGAAATATTCTTTGTGACCCACCAAGTTTCTGATCCGTATAGAAGAACTGACTTTACGTTTGTATTGAAAATCCGAATTTTGTTGGTGATGCTGAGTGACGAAGATTTCCAGATTGATTTCAGGTTGATGAATGTGTTTCTCGCCTTCCCGATTCTCGATCGATTTGACATCCTCGTCCGTTCCTCCTGTAGTTGAGACAATGCTCCCTAGATAAGTGAATGAAGTAACCTCTTTCAAATCCCTCCCGTTGATGGTGATTGACACTGGATGTTGATGCTGTTGTTGGTTGGTTATTTTCATAACCTCCGTCTTGTCTATGTTTACCTGGAGTCCTGTCTTTGCTGCTTCTTCGACCAGTTTGTCGGTTTTCGCTTGTAAGTCTTCGATTGTGTGTGACATCAAACATAAGTCATCCGCGAAATCCAGGTCTTCTAGGTTCTTCACGTCGGTCCAGGATATTCCTGTCTTCTCGTTTCCCACTGTCTGACGCATAATCCAGTCCACCACAATTAGGAATATCATTGGTGATAGTAAGCACCCTTGTCTGACTCCTGTGTTTACTCCAAACGCCTCGCTGAGTCTTCCGTTGTGGATCACTTGGCAGGTGCCGTTGTCGTACAGCTGTTGAATAAGGTTGATGAATATTTGGGGTACGCCATAGTACTCGAGTAATTTCCAAATTACTTCACGATCAACGCTGTCGAAGGCCTTCTCAAAGTCTATAAAGTTGAGGTAGAGGTTTGATTGCCATTCCATGCTTTGTTCTGTGATGATGATGCGTAGAGTTGCAATTTGGTCAGTACATGATTTGCCTTTCCTGAATCCAGCTTGTTCTGGTCGGAGTTCTGTCTCCAGTGCGTCCTTTAATCTCTCCAGGATGATGCGACTCAGGATTTTACTTGGCGTCGATAGGAGCATGATTCCTCGCCAGTTCTTGCAGAGTGAGGCCTAAGTCGCCCTTCTTTGGTAGTTTCACGAGGTAACCTTTCCTCCAGTCAGTAGGCACCTTTCCCTCCTTCCAGACCTTTTGCAATAATGGAGTCAGCATGTCTGCTGTCGTCTCTGGGTCTGCTTTCAGTGCTTCAGGGGGTATTCCATCTGGTCCGGCTGTTTTTCCAGCTTTCAGAAGTTTGATTGCATTCAAGACTTCAGCTCTCGTTGGAGGATTGGTGTCAACTTGCAGTTGTGTGTGCGCTGTTGTTGGTATTTCTGGACGGGTTGCAGGTGATGGTCGGTTCAAGAGTCCTTTGAAGTGATCCGCCCATTGTTTAATCTGTTTTTCTTCCTTGGTAATGGGCTTCCCTTGGCTGTCTTTTATAGGTTTCGCTTGTGTTGGTCTCTTCCCGGATAGAGATTTGGTTATCTGATATAGTGTCCTCAGGTCCCTTTTGCCTGCTGCCTTTTCAGCTTCAGTAGCTAGATTGTCGTAGAATCGTCTTTTGTCCTTCCTAGCACTTTTCTTCACTTCTTTGTCCAATGCTTTGTAAGTTGAGCTCATCGTCTCCTTCTCCTGTCCGTCCTTGCATTGAATCATTTTCTCTTTCACCATTCTCCTCTCTTCTATTAATTTCCAAGTGTCCGTTGAGAGCCATTCCTTGTCTTGTCTCTTCTTTCTTCCTAGAACCGTTGAACACGTTTCGTTGAGAATCGCCTTCAGAGACTTCCAATGTTCTTCCACGCATGATTCTTCAGTGATGTCGCGTAGTGTTTCCTGCTTTGCTCTGACAGTTGCAGTGAAGGTGTCTTTTGTGGTTGTGTCCTTCAGTAATTGAGTGTTGAACTTGCATTGTGGCCTATCCCCAGCTATCCTCGAGGCTTTTAGTTTCACCTTGAAAGTCCCTTCTACTAGATAGTGGTCTGAACCCACATCTGCTCCTCTCCTTGACCTTGTGTCCAGTAGGCTCCGTCTCCACTTTCTTGAAATTGAGATGAAGTCTATTTGATTCTTGGTGTTTCCATCTGGTGAAATCCATGTCGTCTTGTGTATATCCTTGTGTTTGAACACACTACCGCCAATCACCAAATCATTGAAGGCGCAGAAGTCTGAGAAGAGTTCACCATTGTCGTTCATTTCACCGAGGGCCTCACGACCCATGGTGAGTTCTCTTCCTGTGTTGTCTCGTCCCAGCTTCGCATTCATGTCGCCCATCAGGATTTTGATATCGCCATTTGGGACGTTGTCCATTATTGCTTGTAGTTGTCTGTAGAACGCCTCCTTCTTCTCTTGTTCTGAGACGTTTGTAGGCGCATAACATTGAATGACTGTAACTTTCCTTCCTTTTGAGTTGAACCTGGCTGTCATTATCCTGGAGGAGATTGGTTCCCACTGCATGAGAGCTTTGGTTGCTGTTGGTGACATCATGATGGCCACTCCCTCGGTGTGCTCATGGTTGTCCTCTAGGTGGCCGGAATAGATTACTGTCTCTCCAGTAGGTAGTTGGCACCTTCCAGTTCCGTTCCATCTGCTCTCGCAGATTCCCAACACTTCTATTCTGTACCTTCTCATTTCAGCGGCTATCTGGGCAGCCTTTCCAGTTTCGTACATTGTGCGAACATTCCAGGTACCCATCCTTACTTTTGCTTTCATCGAAAGAAGGCACATCGGCTGACTGGCTTCCCGAAGGCTTTCACCAGCCTGCGTCATTTCACTTCCCCGATTCCAGCGAAAAGTAAGGCTATTGCTTATGTTTTTAGAATTTTTAATATATTTATTCGTTGAAGTTTCTGTAGCGATTTGGTTGTTTTACAGGGGTGGAGTTGCTAGCACCACGCCCCAACCCTCCCTCTTTACCCGGGCTTGGGACCGGCGAGAAAACTAGTAAGCTAGTAGCCTAGCAAGCTAGTATCTGGCGAGGTTACATAATTTTTCCTTCACGTTCCCCAGTGGAACATAGGGCCTCAAGCTAGTGGCTTGAAGTTTCTGTAGCAGTGTTTATTTTACAGGATGGGGTTGCTAGCCTCATGCCCAACCTTTCCGCCTTACAAGCATTATTTCTGTCTTAGCTAGGTAAATGAGTGCGTCCACCGAGGGAGAGGGCTCTCGAGTGGTGGCGCCACAGGTTGATCCTGCATGCCGTTCTCGTCTCGCAAGAGGCAAGGATGCGTGTGTTTGGTTCTGAAAACCAATGCCCAGTCAATGGGTGTATCGTGGTGTGAATTATTCATTTAATTATTAGTAAAATATAAAAATTGTACATTGTGTGCATCAATATGATGGCTAGGATACTGCTCAAAAGCTCATGTGGAAGCGGGTGTTTGTCTTAAGAAACCACCCTGGAGACCTTGACTTCAACTCTAACCTACAGTGCAGTGGATCTGCATTGGCAACTACATTTCAGTGGTTTCTGGTGTCCACGACAGGTTCATACACCATTCGATCGTTACCAGTTTGTTTAGAATCAGAGTTTTCCAGCTCTCCCGGGTAGACTAGCATGTTTAGCAGTCCGGTTGTATATGCCAGACTTTTGCATTCACCGTCTCACTTTTGTGTGGAACACTTCCGCACATGAATGCTGCGAATAGGGCTTATCTGGCAGAAGCTATGAATACGCTACCATGTAAGAACATTTCAAGAGGAAGGCCGAAGTTGACCTGGCTCTTGGCCCTACAAAGTCGTTTATGACTCATCTTTATTTGATTGGCGTACCACAAATATGCACCTGTAAGTGTTATACTTGAACAGATGTGAGTTCCTTCTCATTGCTACTTCGAAACACAACAGTGTTGAGTACTATTTCCACACTGAGGAAGGCAAAGAAGACTGGTTAAGAAAACGATATATTGATCCATGATAAAAGGCGATATCACTAGAAGTTACAGCTTATAATGTAGTTAGTTCACTTGATCAATAACTTGCTAGTTCAAGACATAAGGGACCATGTTCTGACTGGACGGCGTACGCGTGATTCTTAATCCATGTGACGGTCAAATGTCTATTTCTCACACAATTCACTTGGGAAATAGTGAGTCATAATTTGTCTCCTCTTTTCGTAGCAGTAAGTTATGTAAGCTTTGAAAGGTGTAGAAAAGACCTGAAATTGAGTGAAACTCTAACTGATATACTTAACCACCTTTCCACTAATTCCTGGTGCAATTTAATTAAAACTCCCTTGAACAATCAGTCGGTAACAATTTTTAAAGTAAACTTGGAAATCAACGGCTGTAAACCGGATTTTATATTATTTTTTATTTTATTTTATATTATTATATATTATATATATATATATATATATATATTATATTATATATATATTATATTATATATATATATTATATTATATATATATATATATTATTATTATTATATTATTATATATTTTATATTATGCATGATTCCTCACACTGCCACTACAAACAACCGCATTAGTACTGACAAAAAAAACCCTGAAATGTTTATCTTATGATTGCTTAGTGTTGTTCAATCAAATTAACTGATCATCTTGGCTATAAACATTTTTTTTTAAGAACATCTCATAATTTCCCGTATGATTATAGCTGTTACTGTTCACCACGCATACACATATCGTAGCTTCCACTAACTAATACTGAAATATTTTTTTTTTCATTATTTGTGTTCGTCTTCTTTTTTTACTCAGTATTTTTATTTGCATTTTTTTGGTTATTTCTGTTTCTTTTTTTTGGTTTTTATTATATTCTATTTTTTTTTTTTTTTTTATAATACTCCTTTTAAATGTACGATGAAATTAGATGCAATATTGTAGATATGTGCTGAAAATTCCACACTGTACCACAAGTACTGTTTCTGGAATAAAGCGAAATTGTTATGTTATGTTATCTTTTTCGGGTGGGGTTATAAGTTGTGTACACTTTTGAACAGTCCAAAATCAGAATGAAACAGCTGTGTGGTACTACTTGCCTTTTCAGTCGTCCTCTAACTAATTCCAGTTTGTTGCGAAAATCCGTTATATAAGTTTTAAGGTAGACGGTAATCACTGTAGTCGGGATTCTAGGGGCTGGAAGTCTACATTTGAGGACACTGTGTTACCTTGGTCGTGACTATTATTGTTATTGTCATCCCTTATGTTAAGAGTAAAACACAGGCATTCAGCTGCAGACATTCAATTCACGCTTTTCTCTGTAGTCCTTTTTGGTTGGCCTCCTGACTACCATAGACACTTATCTCCTCACACAGTCTTCTCCATGTCACCCTTGAACCCACACCCAATTTATCGTTTCCCATTTGGGTTCCACTTGAGGCATGGCTTGGCGCAGGATGTCTGTCACCCAACGGTCTCGTTAGCGTGTGTCCTACCCATCTCCATTTTCTTGAGCATATTTGCTGAACAAAAGGTCCTTGGTTGTTCCTTTACACTACTAGAGTTCCTCGGTGCCAACCTTTTCTAGCCATTGGAGCTTCGGTATGAAGTGAGTTGTTGAAATGATGCTGCCTGGATAAGTGAAAGAGGTGACTTTAAATTTCTCCTGTCGATAGTGATTGTTTGGTCTGTTGCATTGAAATATACGTAAATAAAGCGAACACATCGACTTTTGAGTTGTTCATTCTGCCTAGTCACTCAATTCAATTACCCTTAAATGCTATATGAAGTTTATCTTTAGGGAAAAAACTCAATATGCAAGTGGGATTTTGAAAATAATTTACACAGTGCCCTATTTTCTTCATTAGCTACTTCTGTTTTCGGTGCGAAACCGCTGTTTGGTGCCACTTCAACTGCTGCTACGGGTACTTCTCTTTTTGGAACTGCTCAAACAACTCCACAACTTGGAAACACTGGTTTTACATTTGGACAACCTCAACAACAGGCTACTGGTTTAGGTGGTTCTACCAGCCTCTTTGGTCAGCCGACTCAGGCATCCACGCCTGCGAAACCCACTCTTTTTGGTACTCAACCAACAACCGGTACAGGTCTAATGTTTGGATCAACGGTATGTGTTTGATTGATTTGACGATTGATTTTGCGGTTTTTCTTTTGTCAGTCAGTATTGTAAGTTCATATTCATTTTTACCTTTTCAGTCTACCGGAATTTTCGGTGGAGCTAAACCGGCTGGGTCTACGTCAGTATTTGGTTCACCTGCCACTGGATTGACAGGTTTGCAGGGGACTCAGCAACAAACTGGTTTTTCATTTGGCTCTTCATTGGGTACAGCAGGTGGATTAAAGCCTGCAGGGACAAGTTTGTTTGGAACAAGTGCGACTACTACTACAACCTCTGCCTTGAAACCTGGCGGTTTGTTTGGATCTGGTAAGCATTTTTCAAATTCCTGTAGTCTGTCGATAAGAAAAATTACGTTTTGAAAAATGAAAAAAAATAGTGCCTTCGCACGATTAATAAGATCATTAATGGTGAAATATGCTATTATTCAGTCGCCAGCTTGATGACGTAACCAGCTATAGTTTGAATTGTATTCCCACTTACCACTGCTCCACACACTATATAAACTGAGGGCTACAAAGACTTGTAAATTGAAGAAAATGTTTGAATATCTGTCTATGGCTGTGTACGTCTGTTGTTGCCGTCTAATTTTTGATTTCCTTTCTTCTACTAACCCCTACATCATCTTCAATTTCTGGCGTTCTACAGTTCTTTCTAGTATTCACTATGGCGAATAAATAGCCGTGAAACATAGCCATTGCAGGTGGAAGATATGAAAAGACGAGCTGTCTTTGACCATAGATATTTGTGTTCTATCTTCCGTGTTAAGTGGTATAACGCGGTAAGCATTATTAAGGTTAGGCATAGGGCATTGTTAGTTGAGAAAGGTAAGTCAAGCGATGGTATTGTGTAATTACATTGGTTGAGGTGGCTAAGAAATAATTGCATACTGAAGCAACTCCCTCCTTGATGAGCGACGTTAGCTGATATAAGATTAGGTTGGAAAAAACTTGAAAGTTTCCAAATCAATAAATGACACCAGCCTATGAAGTCCTTAACACTTAATTTTAACCATATGAGGGGTATGCAGACTGCGTGTCTGGTGTCCTCAGGATATTAAGAACTAATGATGCTATCATCCTGAATGGCTCAGATGCATTTAGTCTTTGTCCCGGATCCATTAAATTATGTTTTTGCCTGTTATTATTTTCTCTTTCGTACACTTCTGTTCATTGTAGTTCTCTTCAACCACTTTTTCCTCTTTCCCCTACCTTCATGTGCTTTATGGAGTGTGACAGGTTGAACTCGTGCACTTCTGTACAAAGTTCTATATCTAGACTCACTCGGTCAGTGTAGTATTCATTCATTAGACTCCTTCATCTACCATCTTGTGTTATATCCTGTCTTGATTTACTGATTTGAAGTGTTACATAATGCACTTGGTTATCCTCCAGTTTATTTATCTGAAGACAAAATTATGACGTTTCTTTTCAGCTGCACCAACTGGTTTTACCTTCGGAAGCAGTATAACCAATACATCTCAGCCTACTGCATTTGGTGGTCTTGGTACAACATCTGCGACTGGAAGTCTTTTTGGCCAGCCGGCTGCTAATACTATGACACCTAAAAAACCTTTCAGCTTTGGTACATCTTTAACAACCACTTCTAGTGGTGGTATTGGAACACTTGGTTTCGGTCAAACTAATACAGGAACAGGTTTATTTGGTGCACCGAGCGCTTCTACGGGTTTCAATTTGGGAACTGGTACTGGAGCTACTTCAGGATCGTTGTTTGGTCAAACTAGCACAGGATTCGGTCTTGGTCAAAAACCTTTACCGAATGTTGGTGGTGTCGGCGCATTCGGTACTGGTTTTGGAGGCAGTACAGCACCAACTATTGGTGGATTTGGTGGTGGTGGTCTTTTAGGTGGTGCTACACAAGGCTTAGGTGGTTCTACGCTTAATCCACTTGGTTCATCATTAACCGGATTCGGTGCTGTAAGTAGCTGTTTTTTATTCATTAATTTTCATTGGTTAATTTCTGATTTATAAGTTTTTACGTGAGTATAAATCTTTGAATAATGCATAAATGAATGTATCATTTCAAAGCTAGTATTAAGATAGAATCCTATACTGCTTACAATTTCGATCCTAAATTATGTTCATAGTAAATTAAATCAATGTTATATAATGTTATTTAGTGAACAGTGACTCTCAGTGGAATCCAGAATGTGCATTTCGTTCTATTAGGGACTTGTCAGTGGGATGTACCTACATTCCCAATGAATGTCGACGGTGTGTGCCTACTCAAACCCTAAACCCCCACCATTCATTCTAATGGTAATGCGAAATTTATCTGAAAACCAAGTATGATTCTTGTCTTAAAAAAGCGGAAAAGACCTACTCTTTGTTATGTACGTCATGGCTTGTTACACGCTATGCCTTAGTATCTAGCATAACACAATCTATTCCTGGCCACCTTTTTCTATCGATATGTTTTGATCTTCCCCTTCCTTCTTAACTGCTCCCTTGAATAAAAGGGAGAAATGAATCAAAACGTTATAGGGATAAAAGATTACTCTAATAAGTATACATTATTTGGTGAATGTGCAAATTAGATTGTGTGATTCTTCCAGTACTTCCCGGTTTCCAGTGGTTCTCTAAATGAAGTCTGTTGGTGACCAAACGTGAAGACAATCAAATCCCGGAAAACCAACATTTGGAAGTTAAGCTTCTGCTCAGTAGTGATTGACTGCAGAATGAAGTTGTCTGAAGTTCTAGTGGGAAGTCGTGACCAGCGGTTTTGAGAACAGACACTCCCTGATGACTTTGGCTGACAGTCGTACTGTAAATCGTAAACTTGACACACATTAGACTCCATCACAGTGGGTGAATGTTCAACCAGGTTGCTTCGTAACCTGAAGGTCATGGGTGCGTGCTTCTGAAAAGTACCAAAGTAATGCCCCCCTCCCGGTTTTCAATGGTTTTAAAATGAAGTTCGTTTGTGATTAGGATAAGAATCTTTCAACGTAGTCTGTGAAGTATAAATGGCCGAAGCGCCTTCCTACTGTACAACTAAATCTGGGATGTATATTATTATGAAAAAGTAACCTGATTGTGCCATAACATTAGGATTGAAATAGAATTGGAGGGACGCTGATGCTGGAAACAGACGTGTTAATCACAAATCCCGCTTGACTACACCAACAATATAATACGACAGCTACCTGTTTCTGCAGGTCGCACTACTTAAGCAAGAACACGACGACATGAGCCATAAATTAAATTTTGCGCGATAATGTGTGAGTCAAAACGTCACCAAGGGAATATCAACTGGTCTGTAATCGTGATCAATAAGTGGTTATTTTACATGGACCAATTTCTGATTCGTTTATTTCCAGACTGGACACGACCATCGTATCACCTCCCCCTCCAGTAACGACATTACTTGTGGTCAACCCAGAACCCTACTGTCTATTTTCTGCACCTGGCTGATGGACATAGAGTGGTCTGTTGTTTACTGGGAGGTCTGGAGCAAATGTGGTCTCCTCATCATCGAAGTGTGAGCTGTGGCGCACTTGAGAACGACTTGTTGTTCTAAACAGGTTAGTTTGGCGTCAACTCGTGATAATGAAAAACTCGTTTCAGATAAAAGTAAAATGAAAAATATCCTTGTAATATTAGTGTGACACTCAAGTGTTTTCAGTCTAGTTTCTTTGAATTCCTGCGCTCATGTTTTGACCAGAGGTGTTTGTCCTGATGAATATACTCTTCGTTTATTACCAACATTATCTATTTGTTTGTTTGCTAATTTATGCTCTTAACTTGTGCTACATTTCAACTTATGCTTTCTTTATTGATTTTTGTTGTTGTTATCTTTTGCAGTCCAATACAGCAAATACTAGCCTTAATATAGGCACTAGTGATCAAGTTGCTCAGGCCATACGAGCTCAACAACAAGTTCTGGAGGTAGTTCGTAGTATGCCGTATGGACAGTCGTCATTATTTCGTTATTTAAATCTACCAACTAATCCTACATCAAAAACGGATTCAAAATCCCAAGCTTCAGGAGGTATATTGGTGAATACTTCAAATAGTGGCAGTGGTAGTAGTGTTATAGTACCAGCTAAATCTGTTGCCAATGTATTAGCTGAACGTCATCGAGCAGCTGGCCTACTAATTGGTTCTAGTCCGGTTAATTCTAGTTTCGGTGGTAATCGTGCTTCAAGTTTTCGTCGTCCTGCTAATTCTAATACTCAACGTCTTCTTCAAAAGGGAAATCGTAATAAGGTATGTGGGATGGTTCTTTGTGGAAGCACTCAATAATTCGATTTATTGCTTTCAAGAAATTAATCTCTTAGTTATTTCCTCTTATAAGTAAATATTGTTCTGAACATGATGACTTAATATTGATATATATGGTTTAAGTCATACTTGTCTTAAGTAGTAAGACCGTGGTAATGTTGATATTAAATAGTTAAAGACAGTCGGAAGGAAGCTTTAGACCTGTGTTTCGTGCTAGTTGGCACTCATCAGCAAGGTGTATCTGCAACCTTGAAGAAACTCATGTCTCTTTTCTGAGGTTTGAACCTGCGTCACACAGTGCTGCAGTTAGAGACGTTACCACTGAGTCATTCGAGCTCGCGATTGATGTCCTGCAAACGTGGCTGATAGAATTCAGTCTGCACCAAACAGAGGACTGGACACATTACACTAGTTACTAACTAGTTTCCTATCAAAAGTATCCAATGCAGTCCTACAGGAGGTCAGTTTTTTTTGAAAATTTTTTTGTTTTACTCCTTAACATTTTCGAGTGGGACATAGGGCTTCAAGCTTAAACTTTGAAGTTTCGGTAGCAACGGTGTTTATATTTATGGTGTAGGGTTGTGAACCTCACTCCCAGCCTTCCTTCTTCCCAGCGAGATGTTAGAATGCATCTTCGGCTGGGAAGCAAACTCCGGACTACGTGCTTGGTTGTGCAGCGTTCTACCAATGAAGTACCGACGCGGTATGTATATTAGGCTGACTAAATTATCATAGCTAAATAACTGAGTTTCAGCATAGGACTTTGCACAGAGGGGTGCACTACTTCAAGTCCCCACACTGCATGTAACATACAAATGTGGAGGAAAGAGAAGCATTTTAAATTCAAACGAACGCTAATGAACTGAAATTTTGGTAGAGATAAAACAGCAACATAGAAAAATACGAGGGTATAGTAGATATCGAAGATTACTCAGAGTGAATGCATCCCCATCATTGAGTATGGTTTTGGGATATATTGTCAACAATCTCCAATCATTGGTTCTTATAGTCTCGATAATAATAATTATTATTATAAGCTTTATTCCAAAACAGTATTTGCGAATACAGAATGGAATTCTCAGCATTTTATTACAGTATTGCATCCAGTTAGTACATTATCAATAAAGAAAATTCTACATAGATTAAGGAAATCTCAATTCATTATGACAACAACTTATTAGCATGTCGGCAAAGTCAAAATTGAACAGTGTTTGAAGGTGTTAGAAAAGTAGACGCTTGCATATTTACTGGCGTAAGCGGAAGAAGGAAACAAAGCAGCACATAACAGAAAAGAAAAGAGAGAGAAAAAAGGAAAAGAAAGAAAGAAAACGTTGTACCTATAAATGATATGAGTTGGAAAGACGAGGTCTAATTGCTCTACTGACTATTTAATAAGTTGTAGGTATCACGCCTAATGCTTTCTTTATCGCACAGAACACGAGCTAAGTAGGGTATGGTTGAGTTTTTGTACTTGCTAGTGCGAGCATATAGTTTTCTACATAGGCTTCTGGTCTGGTCTGGCCTGATGAGATGCAAGGGGAGAGTTATGAATGAAGAGGGTGGTGTGAGTTAGATAGATAAAATGGATTTAGCCCATTTTTCACATGAGTCCAAGTGCCTGTCGACCAGAATATTAACAAGCTGGTTAAATGGCACGTAGCTTACCCTGCTGACAACCTTTAACATCCTGCGTAATAAGGTATAGTCTTTTTTCAGTAGCCCAGGAAAAACTAAGGGGGAACAATAGAGAATTGTAGGATTAAGGATTGGGTTATTCCAGAATGTCTTAACTTCTTGATGTAGAAGGTGAGACGGAATATTTTGTTAGAAATCATCGAGATATGAGACGACCAGGAAAGATCAGCAGATAAAATGACGCCTAGGTATTTAATTTCTGACTTGGTTTCAGTTTTAGTGTCATCAATGTTGCAGTTTGTTTAGGTCAGATTTATGCCTAAAGGTGAAATTCACTGTTTGGCATTTGTAGGGGTTTAAGGTGAGACCGTTTTCCTTGAACCATTGGTTGACTTATGATAAAAAGCCGTTTAGTTTAGAGCAGTCACTTTGACATTTGAAAGGCAAAGGCACAGTCAGGTCATCAGCATATTTGACAAAATTAATGTCATTTGAAGATGGTAGGTCATGTAGAAAGAAAGAAAAGAGAAGCAGGGAAAGTACAGCACCTTGGGGGACATCAGCTTCAGTGAGCGTAGCAGAGGAGGATTTGCCTTTGTATACGGTATACTGCATTCAGTCACGTAGTTTACTCATCTTTACGTGGCTTAAATCAACTTTATCCAGGGCTTCATAGATTGATGAAAGGTTTCACAGTTTGACCACCTTTAACTCTTTCTCAGCCTATTCCCTATATCATCTGTGACATTATATATGTCGAGGGAGACGGCGGAGACTCAGTAATAATGATTAACATTATTTAAAATGTATTTCAATTATGAAAACTTGACATAGAATCTCATAGAATTTCTTTCTATCTTTTTTCGTATCTTAGTTATTTTCTGGTTTTTATGAAGAAGACGCTTTAACTTCCACAGCAAATCGTAATTCACCTTTACCATCTAGCCTTCGACGTACTGCTTCCTTGGGACCAGTAGCTGTTTCAAGCCCTGTAAATAATACTGCTGCCGCTAATAATCATAATAATAATATTAATGGTATGAGTAATTTCTTTATTAAACGAGATGAATGGAAACACCTGCATCTACCTGAAAGTATGAGAAATTCAATGCTGGAACGATCAAATGCTATAACTGATGAATTCAATCATCTGGCTGAAAAAACACTTGATAATATTAATTCATCATCGGATTTTGCAACAGTAGAAAGTAACAATAAGCAGAATAACAATCTACTCTCTGAATATGCTTCTGGTGATACTCCTATATTGAAAGAAAGGAATGGATCTAATTTATCACCAATGCATCAATATTCTGCTGTTCGCAATGTTGATAAGAGAGTAAGTCGTTCTATCTAGGAATAGAGACAGTTTCATTTCTAATTCATCATTTTTTTCCTTCACATTCCCCAGTGGAACATAGGGCTTCAAGCTAGTGGCTTGAAGATTCTGCAACAGTGTTTATTTTACAGGATGGGGTCGCTAGCCTCATGCTCAACCTTTCCTCTTTACCAGGATTATTTCTGGCTTAGAGAGGTAAAGGAGTGCGTCGGCCGAGGATCGAACCCCGGACCATGTGCATGGTCGGCGAGCGTCCTAACCGCTATTCCACCGACGCTTTAATTCATCATTAATAAGCAAAAAAACTGTTTTGTTCAGTGTAGAAACATTTCTGCATAAAACTATACACTGTACTACTGATTGATTGAGATAAGTAGTAGCTGGTTATTACTCACAGCTACCAGTAGTGCTTTTAATTTATCCGGATGTCGATGATCTGAATCAGCCACTACTATTCGACAGTAGTTTCTCTTTCGTTCGTCTCCAAACTTATCAGCACTGTACTACTCGGTTTGATTTAGATCAGAAGGCTGAATTAATTTCTACCATTTGATTTCTGACTGAATAATTGGGCGAACTGGTAATACTGGTGTGGTGAGAGCAGGCTGCTAGCCACTTGTTAGACATTAATTTGCGTCGGTGTCTAGGTCACTAATATTGGCCGTGAGAAAATATATGAACAAGACTGATTCAACAACCAATCACAACAGACTTAACGTGGGCAAATACGATTCGCAGATATGTGGCCGAACTTTCTGAAAAAGCAGTCACAAGCAGTAATGAATAACCCTGAGCAAGAAACAACCAATCAGAAAACTGTGTTTGTCTGCTTGAATGATCTATAATAATGTACATGAAATATATATATATATATGACCCTTGTCTTCTGTTGTTACACTGGTAATAAATCGAATTCGCAGTTCGCAATTGTCACAAGTTGAGGTGAGATTTCAATACAGTTTCCTTTCGGAAACCGAAATTATTCAGATAACAATTTATGTGATATGCTTGATGTGAGTGGTTTCCCGGCTACGCCTCAACCGATCATTAGTATATGGTTTTATGCAGTTCTGCTTGATTTTCGATTACCAAATTATGGTATCCTGCGAATCACATTTTGTCATATGAATAATTTCGGTTTCCGAAAGGAAACTGTGGTGAAATTCCGCCTCGAACTGAGTGAATTGCAAACTTGAAGCAGAAATATTTATTTTCAATGACTTGTTTCCAAGTTATTAAGTTGTATTTTTATTACGAAGAACAGGATAAAGAGAGTGGTGCTACAATATCTAACGAAATGTAGAAGAAAGAATAGTCCGTTGAGTATTCAATCTTCAAGATAATTAGCGGGGAACATAGCCATCACTATGTACCACGTGGAACCACGTTTCCAATGGTCACTTACTATTTCATGTTAGCATCCTTGAAGATCTCAGCTAAACTATCTACTCTTCTCTTTTTCGCTTGAACCATTAGTTAATGACTATGATTCGTTTCCATAAACTAATCCAATTTCAACTAGCATTGTTTACTTAGAGAGAGACAGCCAGTGTAGGTTGCCATACATTATAGCATTACATACAACCCTGTTACGACTAGTATAAGCGATTGATCAAAAATACTTTTAGCTTTATATCTCTAGTCTACCCATTTCTCCTAATTTCAGTTGTCAAGGTTGAAGCTCATTCACGGACAGCCTGTTGTCTCTTTGGTGCCGAAAAATGCCTGAGGTTCCTTCTGTGTAGTATCCCTGCTGAACTGTTATCAGTGATATGTCCATTATGGCTGATGTAATTCCATAAGCAAGCAAACTGGCCAACACAATTCAGTTTCCGTGTTGTTTGTATTAGGACTTGTTCTATTATTATATTATTATTATTATTACTATTATTATTAATTTTTCAACTTTGCTTCTGTTTTAGAATCCTCAAAGTCCTTCGGTAAATGAAGCCACTAGAAAATTGTTAAATACTTCCAGTCGGATTGAATCACCAGCTACTGCTGGTCAACTTTCTCGAAGGAATAGAATCGATGCATCAAGAGTACACGATGTTTTACAAGGCAGTATGGATGAGAGAAATGCCGATTCTTTGCTCTCATCATCAAGTCCGTGTAATGTTACATTTGGTGATGTATCAGTGTTTAAATCACCTAATTCAGATCAACAGAATGATACCTTGGATAAGGATCAGTTGAATACTTTGAAATCTACTACTACTACTGCATCACCTAATGCTGCTGGTGTTATTTTAACAAAACCTGGCTATTATACTTTACCAACACTAGACGAGTTAGCTGAAATGGTTGAAGATAGAAAGTGTTTAGTTGAGGATTTCGTAATTGGACGTCGTGTAGGTTTTTTCTTTTCTCTATGAAATTTGATTTTTTCCTTTAACAATAATTTCTGCTTAACTGTTGGATGGAATTTGTCACCGTGAGTTGATGGCACAGTGGTTAGGACTCTCGCCGACCATGCACATGGTTCAGAGTTCGATCCCCTACCGACGCACACCTGATATCTATGGTCGGCCTGCAAAATTTGGCCTACCGATATCCATGCTGAAGATTCCATACTTGTACCAAAAATACAATTTTGAGTCAAGCTGTAATCAAAAATATAAAAAAAATATATCTTTTTCTAAAATAGATTTAAAATATCTATCAGAAATTTCGAAAAACTTAGACTAGTTGAATAAAAAATATTCTTTTCGATAACTTCTTCACATCAGATTCTACAGTTACGTGGCCACAACATTTAGTGGATTATTGTTAATAAAAAAAAATCAATATTTTAACTATCATTGTAAATTAATCAAATCAGTAGTTTAGAGTTCAAAAACATCTGTTAGCGGTATGTTCACATCGATATAACACTAAAGTGAATACGTTCCACAGCAAGCGAAGGTAACAATAGTGACTAAACCTGTTTTTTTTTTTGCACGCAGAACTCTCCGGTTGCTGTAAGTGCATTGCAACAGTCTCTGCTGTTTGTTAGTATTCGGTATCTAGAAGTTTTTGGCAATTTGTTTGGTACTCGATGGATGATAGGAAAAGATTTTTCAGTAGTAGCTTTGTGGCCTATTTAGAGCAGGTGGTGTAATTACTATCGAACTGTTTTATGGTTTTAACTATACCTTTAGCTGTCGCCAAGCACCAGCACTAAGTTCTTAGTGCAATGGCCAGTATAACTACTGGCTCCACAAGAACGGTTTAATTAGTAGGTACGACATGAGGTGACTAGCTCATATATATACATACATTCAGTCTAACGAGGATAGTTTGGAGGAGTATCATAAGTATAAAAAGGGCGTGTAATTTATCTTCAAGCTTGAACTTTAACAGGATGCTAACTTTACGGCTATAGGAAATGTGATACTTCTAAAGAAGATATTTCATTTTTTCAATGCATTATATGTCATAAAACACTAAGGCTTAAGTAGATTAAATATGGAAGGCTCACTAGATATTTCTCAGAGGAATTAGATACAAAACTCAAAAATGAGTGTGCTGTCCTGTTGTTGTCGTCGGTTTCATGTACACACTCCTTCTTAGTGTACCATCTTTTTTCCTTGTCATGAAGACGTCTAGGAATGAGATACGGCCATTACTTTCTTTCTCTATGGTAGAGTTTATTGCTGAATGGGCATCGTTAAACTTGTCAAGGATGCTCATTGCATCATTCTAGGATTTTATCCCTTCGTGATGCTGTCTATACCATATCTGATATTGTTTTATCAGATCATGTTAAATATATATATATCACCCCTCTGGGCTGCTGTATTTTTTACGTTGAAAATTCATTTCACTTTGTATATTTATCCCTGAAATCACTTCTTGTAATCCGATAGTTTATAGTGTGATCTTGTATAGTTAAGTCTTTATTATATTTATGATTCTGGTAGTGATGTGTTTTATTGACTTAAGTGTTTGATATTTCCTTAGTTCGAATACTACTCTGCCTACTTTTTCATAGACAACTGAATAGTACAATATGCCCTTAAGCATATGGTTTCACAGTTACAGACTAGTACATAGGTACTCTCTGTTAGCGGTTTGGTGGTAGGTTGTTTGCTAACCACGCATGTAGTCCCAGTTCGATTCCCACTTGAGGTATTCCTAAACCTCGCTTAGTCGGTAGTAATTCCGAGGAAGAGGGAAGGTTAGATTTGGGGCTAGCAATCTCATCCTGTTAAAGAACACCACTACTGAAACTTTTTAAAGCTTATAGCTGACACCCCATATTCCACTCAGAAGTCAAATGAATAAAGAAAAAACAGGGACTACTGAGAAACTGAGTTGCATTACTTATAATCAGATATCGCTGTTGTATGCGAAACTACACGTCGTTGCTAATATTGTTTGTTATGCAATCTACAGTAGTGGAGTGTATTACTCTTGTCTTATCGTTCTATAGAGTTTTGATAAATTGGGCCTCATCAACGAATTGTGATTGTTTGCATATATTCCGGTATGATTCTAGAGTCTGTTTATCATTCTATTAAGATACACTTTTCCAGATGGCGGATTTTGATTTTCAAGTGTTGGTTTTTTAGAAATTTTGTTTGATTGCATGGAGGATTTCATCATAAGCTGACATCAGTTAAAGAACCACTGGAAAGCCTGCACAGAGTACCGGACAGCTGTTTCCTCAGTCCTAGTTTGGGACGCTCAAGCAGTACGCACCTACCACTAGGGTTCGAAACCAGGACCTTCTGGTTACAAGGCAAGCTCGTAGACCACTAAGCCATTGAGACCCGATCCAATGGCCCGTGAATTCTACCTGCTGCCGATTCACGACATAGCGCGATCATTTTGCAATGTCTTCGTGGATGAGTTACCGCCTCTTCTTTAACTTGACGTACCTTACTGGTCACGGCTTCCCACTAGAACCCCAGATCACTGCCTGAATAGGGCCAGTGCTCTCTGAGCTGGTTGATTTGATTGCGAAACTTTCGTTGACCTTCTACACAACATCTACAGCAGAAGTTTTAGTGTTAAGTGAACTTGTTTGAATTCCCCATGAAGCAAGTTGTTGCTTAGTAGAAGGACAACGAAAACTTCGCGATTGAATCAATTATCTCAGAGAAAAAAATAAATCAAAGGAAGCTTTTTCCATTCTTACTCCAATTCTAAACACAAAGTGCAGTGCTTCTCCGTCTTGTATTGCTAATGGAGAGTGGTCACATTATTGCTGTTAAATTGGTGAATTTCGATCAGCACTAAATACTCAGCAGTTACCTCAGTTATTACTGTTTCTTTCATTATCTCCAATTAACCATCATACTTATTATTTTTTTTCGAAATATCCAGTTGTATGGACATATATTATTCCCGGGGATTACCGATGTATATGGACTTAATTTGGATAACATTGTTCATATACGTCGACGTGAAGTTGTTGTTTATCCAGATGATGAGAAAAAACCACCTGAGGGTACAAGTCTAAATAAACGAGCTGAAATTTGCTTAGAATCCATCTGGCCAACAGATAAATCTACACGAGAACCAATCAAATCACCAGAACGACTAGCTGTAATGCGTTTTGAAGAACGCTTAGAACGTGCGACAAGAAGAATGGATGCTAGGTAAGTGACAGATTATTTCGTCATTGTTATTTGATTCTTTTTGATGTGGTTGTGTTCTCTGACCTGCATGGTTGGTTTGCGAAGCTTTCATCGCCCTACTAGGTTACTTGTATTGGAACTGCTTGTTTCTTTGACTTGAACTTTGACCCTTTGTGTGTGAGGTTTCTTTCTTATCGATTGGTGGATTTTGTCTATCTCGATGTGTCTTTTGATTGACAATTCGCTGGAATACCAGGCAGTCTTCTAAAAATTCTCTAGCATTCTTGTTGTTTCCTCTGTCTAATATTTGAACGTTGTCCCAGTCGAATTGATGTCTTTGGTTATCTGTATGTAGTAATATGAGAGAGTGGATATCATGTCTTTTGACGGCTAGCTTATGTTCGTGGATACGGAGACGAAGGGGACGTCCACTTTAGCCAATGTAGTGTTTTTCGCAGTTGTTACAATTTATTTTGTAGATGATGTTGGTTTTATCTTCTTTTCTGTTGAGTCTTTTGGTTGACATAGAATTGAGTGCAGCGACTTTGTTGGTTTGTGTACGACGTCAATTCCTAAAGGTTTGAAGAGTCTTGTAGTGATTTCTGAGATATCCTTTATATATGGTAAAGCGATTTTCTTTGTGCTTTCCTTGGGGGCTTTTGGTTTGATAGGTTGGTTTGGGGGTATATGTCTTTTGATGAAATTCCGTGGATATCCATTCTTTTGGAAGACGATCATGAGATATTTTTCTTCAATTTTTCTTAAAGTGGGAGTGCTGCAATGTGTCCTTGCTCTCTTGAATAGTGTTTGTATGCAATACCTTTTGTGTGTTATTGGATTGTTACTGTTGTAATTCAGGATTTGGTCTGTGTGAGTTGATTTCCTATAAACTTGAGTTTCTAACTCCCCTGTGGTGGTTTGCTTGACTAAGACGTTCAAAAATTAGGATTTTGTTCCCGGATTCCTCTTATCTTGTGAATTTGATGTGTTTGAAGACGTTGCTTATTAAGTTGTGAGTTTTATCTAACTCGTTTTTTTTGGTTATTACAAATGTGTCATCGACGTAGCGTATCCAAATCTTGGGTTTGATCTTTGGTAGAATTATATTTTCGAGTCTTTGCATCACTGCTTTTGCAATCAAGCCTGATATTGGCGATCCCATGAGAGCTCCTTTGACTTATTCATATATTTGGCCATTGAACTGGAAGTACCTTGTTAGGGATAGGTTTATGCATTCCATCCAGCTTGTGTGTTGCATTTTTGATTGTTGTGGGAGGTGTTCGTCGTTGCTAAGTAATTGCTCCATGGTTTCTTTTGCTAGTTTTTGTCGGACAAAAATTTAGTTATTTATGTTTTGTATGGTTTGTTTCATTCCTTCGCACTCCATGTGGAATGTAAGGCTGCAAGCTTTAGTCGTGAAGCCTCAATAGTTGTGGTGTAATTTACGGGGTGAGGTTGCTAACCTCAAGCCCAAACTTCTCTGTTTACGCGACCTACTACTACTGAGAAATGTGCCGGAGGTCGGCAATCGAATTCCAACCATGTGTTCATCTGGCAGATATTCTCCCCCCTAAACCACTGATGTACGAATTGTAATAATTCTTAATTTTTATTATATTTTTGTTTTCTTACAAATTTCTCATTTGTAGATTTATTGAATATCGTCCACAGTCTGGTTCTTGGGTTTTTGAAGTGAAACATTTCTCCAAATATCGATTAGATGATTCAGATGATGAAGGTGAAGGTGGTAATGTTGGTGGAGATGATAACTGTGCGGTGAGGGTTACATCAGATCCACAAGAAAAGTTGTCTACAGTTGTTTCAAAAACTTATGATTCAAAGGCCAAATGTTTATTTGACAATGATCAACTGGACAATGATGAAGAATTGTATACTATTTATGATAATAAAGTAAGTATGCTGGTTGTAAGGTAGATTTTTCTCCCTCACCTGTTTTTTCCTTCTCTTTCACTTATTTATTCGACTTTCAAAATGTTGAAGATCCTGATAGTAAAATTTAGAAGAACACTTGTCTTATTAAACTTAACCCTCTAATAGGACGGTAAGACTGTTCAATTAGTGGTTGTGGCAAGTTATGACCGTTTGGATTTATCCGGTCGGGCATGAGAATATACGCTCACCGATGATATTAGCTGGCGGTGGTGCTAAAAATCGCAAATTGATAGAAGTGAGAATTCATGAGCTAGCCATTAGGTTCCATTCCATTGGCTTAATAGTCGATCGTCCTGGGTTCGACTCTTGGCGGGGTGATTGGTACCTGCAGGGACGAAACGTTTGTCCATTGCTCCCTGGTGGCATTTTTAAAGATTTTTTACCTGGTATAAATCCATGATCGAATCCCTATGATATGATACTTGGAAACTCTGTAAATAACTGATGAAAAATAGAGCAGTGTTTTTGATGATAACGGCAGTGGAAAACGACACGATTATACAAACAGAATGTTCAAATAGACGTAGTAAATGAAGGTTTAAGAAACAACAAACAATGAGATTACGTAATGCTAGTTGATAAGGGTAGTCGAAGACTAGGGTTTATCCAAGGTGAAATTAAACTGCGGAAGGGTTGACAAAAAGTAGTAAAAAAGTAGGATTCAATATACGTAAATGGGGTGGGATGTTATGAGCAGTTGGTTAAGTCTTACCTAGCCAAGACGGGGATAATAGAAGTACGAACTTCTACTGAATGCATAGTTTAGACTTAGTATTTCGAATGCCAATCGCCTTATCTATATGTACTAAATGATCACAAAGATCACTAGAAATATTCCGTGGGAATCGCCTTGAGTGTATTCGTTTCATCCACTGAGTAGGAACTAGTAACTAAATGCGACAATGTAAAGCCAGGGACAGTCTTTATCTGTCCTTCATCAAGCCACCAAGACACACTGACTAGGCTATCCAGTCATATGTCCAACATAACTGTCTCCATATGAGAGCAGTTGAACTTATAAGTCGTGGCTTTAGGAGACTATCGGTGGTGGTTTTTTGGCTTCCGTCTTTTTTAGTGGACACAGAGTGAAGAGGGAGTGAGGAGCCATCTAGTAGAGGAGTTGCATCAGTGGGAGGAAGGCAAGGTAATAGAGATGAAGATGAAGACAAAGATAAGTGAGGATTAGAGAGGTTTTGTGTACATTTCGGATTGTGAGGGCGTTTGTTACTTCCCGGCTGCCCACACCGTTGAAGTTGGTTGCGTGACCGCAGAACCCAGGGGACAACTGCTTGAGGCCAGTCACACGCGGTCTGTTTTTGTTTGTTCTCTTTTGTTTGGTGTGCCTCAGTAGCATACTTATCACTCCTGCCCTGTGACACGGCAGCAGGAAGCGCGGTCGCTGTTAATCCGGGCCACGGCCGATCCGGCATGAAATTTTGTGAATTTGTTTGAATCATGGTATTGGATGGGGTAGCTGCTTTTTGTTTAACCGCTATCCAAACAACCTGCCTGGCATGGTAGGACCTCAAGAGACATAAGTCTCAGCCAGTATAGCTTGATTAGGTCATTGCGGTGTTCAAGCCCGACCACCACGTCAAGGTAGCAGCTTTCGGTCGGGGACATATAGATGTGGCGGAACTGCCTAACTTTGACCTTTGTATGAGTCCCTGACTCGAAAAACGATAGATTCAGGCTTGCTGCATGAAATGTCTTATGCATATTTCTTGAAGGAAATTTTTTTGCTAAATCCCAATTAAACTGAATGAAACTACCTAAGATACTTTCGTTTCTGGCCTTATAATTATCCTAAAAAGCTGCTGCATATGAACTGTCATCTAGTTTTTAGCATACATATTTCTCAAAGAATTCGAATAATTGAAAGACGAATTCAGAAAACATTCTAACGACAGAGGAGAAGTGACAACTCACATTTGGATACATCATCAGAAAACTAGTTAACTTTTCAAACTAGGTGTAATTATTTTTAATGGAAATTAAAAGAAAATAGTTGAGCATGCAATTTTACGTCTTAATTACTGTCAACTGGCAATAATAATAACAATAATATGCTGTTTATTCATTCAATGCGAAGTAATCATCTTTTTGTTGTGCTCTTATCAAATATGTTCTATCTCATGAATTTTTCTATTGTTTTTTTGCCGTGATGTTGCTTTCTGCTAGCAGGATAGATGTTTTTTATCATAAAAGTTTCACTATTATCCTAGACAACCTTTATAGCACATAAACTATGCAAACTGCTGATTTCGTCGTGTGTCTTGATGACCTAGGTATATGTTATGTACTAGTTTCCCCGTCGCCAAATTGTTATGTACTCGTCGCTAAGTTTATTATTATGGTCTGGTCGAGAAACTAATAGTCCTGACGCGAGAAGGCGGAAATCAGAAGACCACTAGGTTTGCGATGATACTTCTATTGTCCAAACACAAGGAGACGAAAATAAAATGGTCTCACATCAAAGTGGTAAGTAAGTAAAGTAGTTCACACAAATTGTGTGAGCGAAATATATGTGACAAGGGTTGAACAATCATTAGACAGTCTTAACATGAATGGCTTATTATAATGAAGTATCGATCCATATATACATAGCGAAATATAAATATAGCAGACATGTCAACAACCCCACATATAATATGGATATATGTCACCAAGCAACGGACTGTCAACAAACACTCATATTATATATAATATAATATAAGGGGAATACACATTATTAAAGAAGACAAGTTCATACAAGTGAAATGGTCACAGACTAAACGAGCAAACAGAAAGAGGGACCAACATACACACACACATAAATATTATATGTGGATACATATCAGTATATGATTAGTCGTTTGAATAATGATTTATGTCTACAGTATGTATAAGTCTATTCTGATTGGCTGATTTGTGGATTTCTGACCTTGTAGTTATTTTTTTATGAACCACTGACAAAATCATCCATCCTCCAAAGTTATCATTTTTGTGTCGACAGTTTTTTAAATTAATAATTAATTTTCCTTTTTGATTAAAAGTTATTTAACCACTTGAGAGGTTTATTTAGAAAATTATTTCTTATTGTTTTATAGCAGCAGACGACAGCATTCAATTCGCATAAGGAAGTCAATCAAGACTTTCAACTAAAGCCATATATGCGTATGAAGTTTATTGATGATGAGAGTGATATTTATGATCAATTTAATGAAAAAGTGAGTTATTATTCTATTGCGTAATAATATTGTGAATAAAGAGCGGAGCTATTGTGTGTCACTTCTAATGTCTATACTAGAGGAGTTTAGAAGTGATGAATGGGTACTCGCCTCTGTCATAACTTTGCAGTAATTATACATTCCATTTGAGAGACTCTGAACTTCATTTAATTTCGAGCCACTTAAATGCTTATTAATATATTTTTCCACACAATAATAAGGCAAGTCCAGAAGATCAGCCTAGTAGTGTATAGCGTTTACAGAATTCTGTTGATTATATTGTAGTTAATGCTATGGGGATGTGGCTCTTAGTCTGGTTCATGGAGGAGAATCTTTTTTGGGGAGTCCAGTGCAAGCAAATTAATCCAATCTAGAAGATGTTGTGTGACAAGACAATAAAAGGAATCTGGCAATTTAACTATTCAGCTCAGGGAACACAACCATCCCAATGTACATCAGAAAATGCTCTGTTATTAGCCTAATAAAAGATAATCTTAGGAAAAAGCGAAGTTGGTATAAATCATGCGTCATTGAAAGCGTATTTTTCAGTGTCCGTTATGATGCTTATCTCATTGAGAAGTAGTTGTGAGGCAATACAGTTATTTAGTCTCTCTTATTAAATAGTTAGGGACAAATGGAATTCGGGCACGAGGTGTAAGTATATGTCTGGCTGACTGACTGAGTTTCAATAAGGAAACTTGCACGGATGTTCAGCACTTCAAGTTGCCACATTCTGTCTACCACACATCTGTTAAAAAAGAGATTCAAAGGAATTATTATGAACAGAAATGCACAGGAGAAAGGATAGTATAACACAGGAGGACTTCTATTATTATTATTATTCCTTTGGGTTCTGAGTGGAATATAGGGCTTCAACAACACATCTCCACTTTCTTTTATTCTTTGCCGTCCTCTTCAGCTGGGTCCACGATTGACAATAATCTCTCACCTCCTCACGCGATTTCCCCCATGTTACTCAGAAACGACTTGCTCGTCGCTTCCCATTGGGATCGTACTTGAGCGATGGCATGCATTGCGCGCGATGTTATTCAACGGTCTCCTTAACGTGTTAGAACAAGACATATAAGCCAACAATACTGTTTTCATTTAGATCTTCTTCAGGCTTTACTCTAATTTACATAGACTTATGTATAACAATTTTAACCAATGACAGTGATTTTGTGGATCTAATAATAATAATAATGTGGCAAATGTTTCGAACGTCATTAATAACAATGATTATAATGATAACAAAATATTGATAATAAGGTTTATGCAGGCGCCGATAAGAATAATGAAGGTAGTAATGTGTGTATATGTAGACAGTTCTATAAATAAATTAGGCCGAATTTTAAAAGTTACGTAATAACAAAAGTTTAAATAGAAATCATAAAAGTAGGAAGGAGATGGAAATACACGAGAGTGAGGGATTTTTGATTAGAATTCGCGTAGGCTAAGCAAGGGAGAGACTCCTTTTGTGTGCAAAGACAAGGGATTGTTCGAGAGGTTCGATGGAATGCGATAGATAATTTTGAAGGCATTACTTCTGTCCACTTGGTGACCGCTATCAATCAAATGAGCTGCAAATAGAACTTCTTATAGATTTTATTTGACCTTATCCGAACCATGGAGAAAGATGCTCATTAATGCGTGTTAATCTGTGTAGTTGTTCGCCCTGTGTAGCTCTCTCTATAGGAGCAACTAAATTTGTAGATACACATATAAGCGGCACAGCTAGGTAGCTTGTCTTTCACTTAAGTAATCTTAATTGGTCGGCTGAAAAATGGCATACAGGGTGGCGGTAGAATAAGTCCGTTTTATTGCTGTCGATAATCTCAGATGTAGGACTTCACTAACATGTCCCCATTAAATTGCAATTTTAGGAACAGTTGCTTCTTTTTAACTGTTGTCAGTTCCTCTATATTGTACCTGGTGTTCATGTGTCTCCTTACAAATCTACTAGGATAACCCTTTTGGATATATCCTAAGTCATTTTTTAGGGAGTCATCTGTACAGATCCGTCTTGCTCTATTCGTGAGGCATCTGACCAAATTGATTTTGTATCAGATTGGTACAAAACTGAGGAAATGTGTTTGTTGTCCTACATATGCAGTTTTTCTATAGACATCTGTCTTGAGTGAACCATCCTCTCTTCTGCTCAATTGGACCTCAAGGAAGTGTAGTCTACCATCATGTTCTTCTTCTTCACAAGTGAAGATGAGCGATGGATGTGCATCATTAAACTTTTTGAACATTTCATTCTTGTCAGCTTTCACATCAAGAATAATAAAGGTATCATCAACATAACGAAAATAAGAATCGGTTTTATCTATTACTTGTTTCAATGGACCATTTTCAATCTTGGCAAGAAAGAAATCTGCTAGAATTGGCCCCTAATGGAGAACCCATGGCAATACCGTCGATTTGACTGTAGTAAAGGTTGTTGAATGTGAATTGTGCATTCATAGTAGATCTTAAAAGCAAATCTTTCAGCCTAATAACTGGAATTCCGTATCGAACTGTTTCTCTAGTATCTGTTGGTATATGAATTCCAGTGTCCTTAAGTCCTACGTTGGTAAACAATGATGTGACTTCTAAGAATAACATTTGTTTCCCATTTACATTAATATCATGTAGGTTAGAAATGAATTCAAAAACGTCTTTAACACTATGATTTACTGCCTTCTTGTGTAACTGTTGGAGGAGCTCACCTAGCCGCCTTAATGTGTGCCCGATCCATCTCTATTTTCTCATGTGAGGATATGAGGACTAATGATCCTGTGGTAATATAAAGAATGAATGCATCTGCACCATTGTGAACCATCTTAAGCGATATCACCAACAGTCTTCAGTCATTTATTCTTAGCATTTTGAAAACCCCAAACAGACAGTTTACACCTCCCTATGTGAGTGACTCAAACTAACTGTCAGAGACTTTATGTATCGAAGTCAAGTTCCGACCTAATTATGTATCATTTAACATTAACTGTCGTGGGAGGTGTCGTCTCGGAATGCAGAACCTGTGCCTTATCCATCTGAACCAATGTAGCTTCACAACCGTTACCTAACACTCCACGCCTAATCCCAATATTCCTCACCATAATATACCACTTAACACGGGAAATAGAATGCAAACATCCGGTATGAAAGACAAGGATATGTACCAGAATTTAATTCATACTCTTGTAAAACTGCTACACGTCAATCCATACCGAAGAAAATAGAGTACGATTTAAAAATCTGGAACTTACACGATTAAAAGTCAGTTGACCGATACTTGCCTGTTAATAAGTGAATTCAAATGAGTTCATTTCACACTAAAACCTGCGCTGAAGATGTTGTTTAGACGCACGATGAAAGCTTCGCAATTAAGTCGACCAGCTTGGCAAGCACAACTAAATCAAAATCAGCTATTTGAGAGCTACAAATCTTCTCTATTATTTTAAGTGAGGTAGAATCCAAGGGCAAGCTATTTTCAAACTTATATCACAACCTAAAGTAGACACTGATAAGATGATGAAAAATTCCCAGTATTAGGAGTAGTTTGTTACGTATCTGTCTTAAAGTCTATAGAGGTTGCACAGTGGTTAGGACTCTCGCCAATCATGCACATGGTGCGGAGTTCGATCCCCCTACCGACTCACAGCTGATATCCATGGTCGGCCTGAAAAATTTGGGCTACCAAAATCACATGCTGAAAATTTCCTACTTGTACCAAAAGTACGGTGCGGAATCAAGCTGTAATCACAAATAAAATAAATAATAATATTAACAGCTTTATTCCAAACAGTATTTGTAGTACAGGTATAGAATTTTCAGCCTTCATTACAACATATTGCATCTAAATACCTCATAAATTTTATAAGATTTAAAAATCAAAAAGTAACACCCAAAAAAAGAAGATAAATAAAAAGAAAAAGAAACAGCGTTGCGTTTGCATTTTAAACAATGCACCGCAGGATATGAAATATAAAATTAGTGTGTAATAGCAGATGTGAACAACAATATAATAGTAAGGAAGAAAGGAAAACAAAAAAGAATGGGACTATTTGTTAGAGTGCCGCAGTAAGTGCAAGTAAGATCGTGTCATACCTAACGGATTTCTCATCACATAACAGCTGTGTCACTTATGGTACTTTGGAGTTTTTGTACTTGGTAGTCCTAGCATATAGCCTCCTTCTAGTTCTACCAGATTGAATGCGAGGAGAGAGCTGCGTATAGAGGGGAGGCTCGGGGTCCGACAATATAGTATTCATAAGTTTCTTACATCACATTATATGTCTACCCACAATAGTGTTAACCGGTTGGTTTAACGATATCCCACTTGCCCTACTAACGGGTTTAGGTGCCCTTCTCAGCAGAGCAAAGTCTTTCTTAAGTAGTCCAGGAAAGATTAATGGGGATCAGTAAAGGCGGATGGCTAGAATACGAGAATTGGCCAACTGAGAAAGCAAAGACTGCCTTAACTTCCTAACGTAGAACGTGAAGCGAGACATCTTTCAAGTAACTAGCGAGATGTGTGAGGACCAGGAGAGATCGGTGGAAATACTCAGTACAAGGTACTTGACATTCGGATTAAGTGCTAGATGCTAGAAGACTTATTCCGGCGAGCTCCGGATTCGATGAGGAGCGAAAACTGCACAAGAGGAAACTTACGAAAAGTCTACACAAGGACCGTGAACAGTGGTGGGTGACAAAGGCGAAAGGGATGGAAAAAGCATCGGTGATAGGCAACACTAGGCAACTCTTCAGACTCATCAGGGAAACGGGTGGGAGAAGTTAAGTCATAAGTGAAACAATCACAGAGAAAAATGGCACTATAATTAGCTCCCAGGATAGACGACTGGATCGCTGCAAAGAGCACTATGAGGAGCAGTTTAATTGACCCACAGCCACGCTCAACCTTCCGAACGTCCAACACCTCCCTGAATGGGATATAGACACAGGTCCTCCGTCACTAACTGAGGTTACTAAAGCTGTCACCAATCTGAAACTAAGCAAAGCAACGGGACCTGATGGAATGACTCCAGAGGTATTTAAGTACGGTGGAGACAGTTTACTGTCTCCACTAACTGAGGTTCTACGCAGAGTCTGGGAATCAGAAGAAGTCCCATCGGGTTGGTGTAAGTCACTGATTATCCCCATATACAAGAAGAGAGACAAGTCTTCCTGTGATAATCACAGAGGGATAAGCTTGACTAATATGGTATCTAAAGTCCTAGGCTCAATAATCATGCGTAGACTGAGTGGTGCTCGGGAAGCACAAACACGAGAGAGCCAGTCAGGCTTTAGACCAGGAAGAGGGTGTATTGATCATATCTTCACCCTCCGACAGATTCTAGAACATAGGCATTCCCACCGGCGTCCAACAGTCATTATATTTCTTGACCTAAAGGCGGAATTCGACTCTGTCGACTGAGAAGTTCTCTGGCGGTGCTTGGCTGTTAAGGGAATGGCGAGAAAATACATTGCACTGATTCAGTCATTCTACTCGTACTCATGCCATCAGCCAGGTGAGGGCTTACGGCGAGTTGTCATCTGAACTGGTGACGACTAGTGGTGTCCGTCAAGGATGCCCATTATCCCCTTTTCTATGCGACCTCATCATAGATGTGTTTATGGACTTAACCCCAAGTGACTTCAGAGACTCAGGGATTGACTTGCTACCATCAAGGAATAATCTCGTTGACTTGGAATATGCAGACGATATAGTCCTACTAGGCGAGGACTCGGAAAAAATGCAGAGTCTTCTGAACACCTTGAGCTGCAACCTACGAATGTTTGGCATACGGTTCGCTCCCGCCAACTACAAGATAATGTTACAGGACTGAACTACATCGACGCCTAATATAAAAATAGGAAGTGAAGTGGTTGGTGGGGCGTTTTGGCCGATTCACTTATTTGGGAAGTACCATCAGCCCGTGCCAACGGGTTGATCTCTGACGAAATCTCAGCACGGATACAGGGGCTGGTTTCGCATATTCCAGTTTACGCCGTCTCCGGCATAGACGTGATATCCGGCTGGCTATCGACCAAAGAACGAGTGTACTGCTCATCAGTCCGCTCTGTCCTCCTTTATGGCTAGCTGTGAGACCTAACCACTGAGAGTGTAAGACATGAAAGGATTAGCTGTCGTTGATCATAGGTGCCTGCGTTCTGTCTCCCGTGTGAAGTGGCATAATAAGGTGAGCAATATTGAGGTTAGGCACGGGTCGAGTTCTAGGTAAACAGGGGAAATCAATCGACGAGGCTGTGAAGCTACATCGACTGAGATGGTTAGGACATGTGTTACGAATGAATACCTAGTCATCGCCTTCCTCGACAATGGGAAATGTTAGCTGACTGACATAGGGTCAGGCTGGAAAAAAGCTAGCGGAGGTCAAAACAAAACATGGTTTCAGCAGTCAATGAAATCTACAACAGTTAGTCTAGGCCAGGTAGGAAGGTGTAGACTTCCTGGTTGGGGTCCCCGGGACGGTAAAAATCAATGGTTGGAAACAATTGGTGACATGGCTCAAAATCGTTCTCAGTGGCTAACGCAGATGCATCCACTCCTCGTAACCTATAGTTTCTAATGAAACTACATTGTTCTTCGTTACTTCTATTTCTTTGTCTCACACCTCTTGTTTACTGTTTCTAATATGCATTTCTTCTACTTTCTTCTGTTGCTTTGTGTGCTACAAGGAGTGGAGTGTGGCGACTTGAACTTCCGCACATATGTGCAAAGTTCTATGTCGAAAACGGACAAATGGACAGACAGACTTGACATTAGATGTAATTTCATTCTCTATGTCGTTAATGTTATTGGGTCCACACACTTTGGTAGTAAGCAATTCCACATCTGATTGTTTATTAGATGTATCACACAGTGAAACAGTATTATTTACTGGATGACACAGTTTCAAACACAATTTACTGTTCATAATCATCGCGTGAATTATAATCACGCGACTTGGAAACTTGATATTAATAGTTTATAGGTAAGGTTTAGAACTGCGTCAGGCTACGTTTGCACTGCGGACTGTGTAGGTAGTCAGTTGCCATTCTACCAATGTACCATTGATGCGCACGCACTATTAGCTTGTTGAAACATTTTTCTTCTGTGGCAACGTAACAAGGTTATAAAGCTTTTTACGGTGATATTTACTCACTTCCGTGTGGCTGGCTGGATTCGGCCGTAAACTTTCCACTGACAGATTGGCGTTTCTAAAGTCATCTCATCAATCAAGGTATAGTCGACCTGATTCCCGGTTGATAAATACGCATGTGATCGTGTTGGATAAGATTCTATTATTTTTTTCTCAATACTTCTGCACACTACTTCTAAGTGTAATTTTTATTTTCACAGGTCAACACCTATAGTCCACAAAGTCGCTTCTATACTCAACCTGCATATCCAACTTATGATGGTATTCAATCATACAAGGAAGATAAATCTGATCAGCGAAATGATCAACTACCGAAAAATCTTGAAGTATCAATGATAGAAGCGAGAAATTATCTAGATTCAATGGATTTTGCTAGTTTGTTGATGAAATTTTATCCCTATGAGAAGATAACAAATCTGTGTGGTGGTAAGTTTATTATTATTATTATTACTTACACGATGCCGTTTCAGACGCAATTTACTATCTGTGTTCATGTCAACCTGATACACTTTCCTGCTGAAAATCAGTTTCGGAAACATATGTGTTTATGCAGCTCGAGCTGCTTTCGCCGACTTACACCATCTCTGGCGTAGGCGCGACATCCGGCTATCAACCAAGGGACGTGTGTACTGCTCATCAGTTCGCTCCGTCCTTCTCTATGGCTCTGAAACATGGCCAATACGAGTTGAAGACATGGAAAGGTTGACTGCTTTCGGTCATAGATGTCTGGGATCTCTGTCTCACGTTAGGTGGTTTAATAAGGTAAGTAATGTTGACGTTAGGCGTAGAGTGTTGGGCAAAGAGGGAAAATCAATCGACGAGGCTATAAAGTTACATAGACTAAGATGGCTAGGTGACGTGCTGCGCATGCCTAACCATCGCCTCCCTCGACGGGCATTGCTAGGTGATATAGGTGCAGGTTGGAAAAGAGTAAGTGGTGGCCAAACAAAAACATGGCCTCATCAATCCATGAAATGCTTGACAGTTAAACTGAGTCAGTCAGGTAGGGAGATGCAGACTTCCGGGTTGGGGCCCTCGGGATTCTAGGAATCAATGGCTGGAGACAATAGGTGACATGGCCCAAAATCGTTGTCAATGGCCAGCGCAGATGTATTCAGTCTCTGTAATCTTTCATATTCCTTTCTACCATTACCCATTCTGTTTCGCTCTTATACTTGTCAGACTGTATTGATTCTCTTCACTCCTCTTCTTGTCTACGTTTGTGTGCTATTTGGGACGTGGCAACTGGAACTGCTGGACTTCGGTGCGAAGTTCTATGTTGAATCCAGGCAGACAGACATGTTTTTATGTTCCGGTCTGTGAACCGCACTGATTGTTTGAGTTCTGGTGATACTACCTACAGCAGGTCAAAGATGAGGCAGTATCTCATCCAAGAAGAAGACATTGCGAAATAGTCGCGCTATGTCTTGAATTGGCAGAAGTTAGAATTCAACGACCATTGGATCGGATCCCAATGGCTTAATGGTCTACGAGCTCGCCTTGTAACCAGAAGGTCCTGGGTTCGAATCGTAGTGGTAGGTGCGTATTGCTTGAGAGTCTCAAACTAGGACTGAGGAAACAGCTGTCCAGTACTCTGTGTAGGTTTTCCAGTGGTTCTCTAACTGATGTCAGCTCATGATGAAGTCCTCCTTTTGTCTGTCTGTCTGTCTGTCTATCTGTCTGTTTTCGGCATAGAACTTTGCACATATGTGCGGAAGTTCAAGTCGCCACACTCCACTCCTTGTAGCACACAAAGCAACAGAAGAAAGTAGAAGAAATGCATATTAGAAACAGTAAACAAGAGGTGTGAGACAAAGAAATAGAAGTAACGAAGAACAATGTAGTTTCATTAGAAACTATAGGTTACGAGGAGTGGATGCATCTGCGTTAGCCACTGAGAACGATTTTGAGCCATGTCACCAATTGTTTCCAACCATTGATTTTTACCGTCCCGAGGACCCCAACCAGGAAGTCTACACCTTCCTACCTGGCCTAGACTAACTGTTGTAGATTTCATTGACTGCTGAAACCATGTTTTGTTTTGACCTCCGCTAGCTTTTTTCCAGCCTGACCCTATGTCAGTCAGCTAACATTTCCCATTGTCGAGGAAGGCGATGACTAGGTATTCATTCGTAACACATGTCCTAACCATCTCAGTCGATGTAGCTTCACAGCCTCGTCGATTGATTTCCCCTGTTTACCTAGAACTCGACCCGTGCCTAACCTCAATATTGCTCACCTTATTATGCCACTTCACACGGGAGACAGAACGCAGGCACCTATGATCAACGACAGCTAATCCTTTCATGTCTTACACTCTCAGTGGCCAGGTCTCACAGCTAGCCATAAAGGAGGACAGAGCGGACTGATGAGCACTACACACGCCGTTTGGTCAGTCGTGATTACTGCCTATTTGCTCATTCGGTAGTTGGTAATGAAGGATTCGAACCTTGGGATCCACTGACTGTATTTGGAGTGCTCCAGGCAAGGAATCACTATTTGGGAAAGTTGAGTTATCATAACCAAAGCACAGTAACCCTGAACAACGAATCAGAATTCAGATTGAGAAAAGTCTCATGTTTGTGGGAAATTGCATTATAAAACATTGCAAACGTGTCTGTCTGTCTGTCTGTTTTCGACATAGAACTTTGCACAAATGTGCGGAAGTTCAAGTCGCCACATTCCGTGTAGCACGCGAAGCAAGAGAAGAAAGTACAAGAAAAGCATAATAGAAACAGTGAGCAGAGGTGTGAGACAAAGGAGTAATAAATAAATACAAAACAGTTTCATTGAAGATCATAAGTCACAGGGAGTGGATGCATCTGCGCCACTGAGAACGATTTTGAGCCATGTCACCAATTGTTTCCAACCATAGATTTTTGCCGTCCCGAGGACCCCAGCCTGGAAGTCTACACCTTCCTACGTGGCTTAGACCAACTGTTGTGGATTTCATTGACTGGTGCCAAGTTTTTGTTTGACCGCCGCTAGCTTTTTTCCAGCCTGACCCTATATCCGCTAACATAGCTCGTCGAGGGAGGCGATGACTTGGCATACGTAACACATGTCCTAACCATCTCAGTCGATGTAGCTTCACGACTTCGTCGATTGATTTCCCCTCCTTACCTAGAACTCTACGCAAACGTGTGATACTACATTGGATAGTTGTGTCTTATGTGTTGTAAGAATGTTCCTCAGTCATAAGACGGACAACCTACAGAGATACATGTATTCATCTAGGTGATAGTAAATCATGACACTTAGATCCACTGATATTTCTGTTACTGTTCTTTAACCTACTCTTAACTCTGACCACAATCCTAACTCCTAACCTCAACCCTAGATCTTAACAGTAATCTTAGAAACCATAACCCTACCTAGCACCATAGATTTATAGAAAAAGTACCAGTGGAAATAAGTAAAATGCTGTATCTAGTCTCTTTCCAAATCTGAAAACGCAAACATGATTTGGTTGGGAATGGGTTTTTATAGCGTTCCCTAAATTTGGTTGGTTCTTCAAGGTCAACTTTTGACGAACCTTGACTTTAGCTACGATAATTTAACTTCGTCCACCACTCTCCTGCTTGCGTGCACATTTCTTTAAAAAATCCTCTCTCAACATAGCTCGAACTACTCGTGTTATGACAGTAGTTAATTTTAGTATGATTACTAAGCCGCCAATCCTTCTACTATTGTAGGATGTATATTGACGAAATTCCCTACCAGGATAGCATTTTGGATCATATGATATGCAAGCAGGATCACAGAAAGACTTGCAGTCCTGCAATACTCAGTTATGATAAATCCTATGCTGGTAATGTTAGCCGGCTATCACGGAGCACATTGCACAGTTGCAGATACGCCTTGCTGATGAGTGCCAACTAGCACGAATCTTGGGTCCTGCCGATTGCCTCCAACTATCTAATATCATCAAATATATAGATATCCGCCCTCTCCAATAACATTTTTATCACATGTTGTTACAACATGAGAAGTGAAGTTAAAATCAAAAGTGATATGAGAGATCTGATCTCATTGGTTTACGGGCTTAATTTTCAATAACTGGACAGTAGGTTCAAAGTCCTCTCCACCCTAATTTTGCCACTGCCAACTGAGTAGATTATTTCTACAGTGAACTTTGACTCACAGCTAGGCGACTAGTGAGAAATCTTTTTCCGGGTATTTGAGTACAAACCAATCAACTGAAGAACTAAGTGATACCTCAACAAACAAATTCATGATTAACTAATCACTAGGTGACAATGGCATTCATAAAGTCATTTAATGAATGAAATATTTGTCAAGCCGCTTATTCACTTATTTTTCTTCGGTATTTTGATAGGCGCAAAGTCTATTGCAGCCATGTAAATTGATGTGACAAATAATTAATATAATTAACTAAAGAACTGCCACCAAAACGAACTGCGCCTCTTCCCCATTTATCTTTATTTTACATTTTTCGGAATGAAAAATAAGACTCCAGCCATTGAGCTTTAAAGTGGCTGTGGGCAGGGAAGCTATCGTCATTCCCAATCTTCTCACATATCCAGGCTTACTATAAGGTAGTCAGCTAGACGAGGTTTAGAAGTGTGTCGGCGAGGAGGTGAACTCGGACCTCCTATGTTGTACATGATCAGTGAGCATTCTCCCAACGTTTTGCATTCATTTAACTTATTTAACGTCTATTCTTAACAGCTATAGAAACACAGGTAACAATAGGACGGAAATATAAAAAAAACAGCTAAACAAAAGCAAAATTATTATTATGTCTGAACTAGTCAGTGCTAACATTCATTTCTATTACTATTGTTTCGTTGCCTTCATTTTTGTATAGATATGTTATCATTGAAAGCTGCTAGTCAATATGATAATACAAATTTACTGAATCATCCATCACATTGGATTGTTGATGCTGGTCTTTGGCATGGTCATGGTATGCGACCGTCTTTCGGTTGTTCACGATTTCCAGAATTCCATTCCTTAGTGTTAATTTGTCCATCGTTAGAAGAATATGAGAATGAGCAGGATGAGGTTGAACGATTATCAAAATATAATTCGCTTACTTTGTATACACTAAATTCACCTATTGAAATGTTTGATGAGGTTAGTTGTTTTATGTTACTGGTTTACAGTTATTTTTTTGTGTGTGTGTAAATTCCTTACTCGAAGTTTATTAAATCAAAGTCTTTTTCATGTAGTTGCGTTCCCTGAACTGGTTTTTTTGATCACGAAGCTTTCATTGTCATTTTAGACAACATGTTCAGCACAGACTTTAATGTGAAGTGAACGTATTTTTGAATTCTACATGAATGATGATATAATTGTATATTTCCTGACAGCCTTTGTCGTCATTGGTTGTTAATTTGCAGTACTAATGATTGTTTTTGTTCACTTGGAATTTGAACATTTTGGTCCTGTGGTGTAGTGTTTATATGGTTGGTAAATTTGCTCTATACTAATTTATCTGTTGTTAATCTCTGATACATTTGAGTACTTGGGCTTCTAGGAATTCTCTGGCATTTCTACTGTCTGAAACTTCAGCACTGCCTCTGTCAAACTGACGTCCATGCATCGATATTAAAAAAATACATGTCGTAACTTTTGACAGCTAGTTTATGTTCTTGAAATGGTAGTCGGATGAGATGCTTCCTTTACGACTAATACAGTGCCGATAGAGGTAGTCACATATTGTGGACATTAAAGAGAGGGAATGAACAAGAAGCTCAGAAAAGATATCTTCCCGGTGGTTTCATCCTCAAAAAGCTGTACAATCACCACCTGATTGACCATAAATAAATAACATAAGGAGATTAAAGGTGATAATCACCATTTCATCCCGTTCTCCGCAGTCTTCTTTCCATTTGGCTCCACAAATCCCCATAGCTTTCATTTCCCACTCACATGATCTTTTCCATGTTAACCATGGAGGTCCACTCGAGTGACTGTCCCTAAACACTGCTTTATTTTTGGTGTAGAAAGCATTTGATATCAAAATAAGTTCCCTCAGTCGAGATCGTGATGACGTCAATTGTGTTCTGTTTATGGTATATAAAGCAGAATTATAAAATGATATCCCCACTTAGTTTATTAATTAATGATTGTTATTTCTCAATTCAAAAGACAGATGAAGCTTCGATGATAACAAGATCACTTGAATCCATCCCAAAAACTACCCAAAAATACTTATTTATAAAACTGCCAATAGTATTCACTGTTAGAGTTACTGGATTTTAATGAATAAGATCATTAATGGTGTATCTTGTAGTCTATATCGTTCGGTGCTGAAGATTAGATGGCCTACAAGAAAGGATAAGCAACAGAGAACTCTGACAGTGCAACGTGTCAATTCAGAACCTATTACGCTACAAATACACAAAATTTGAAATGTAGTGAACATACGCTAAGGAGACCATTGCGTAAGATCACGCGCCAACTCCTTGAATGGGAACCGAATAGTCGAAAATGAGTTAGGCTTAGGGCCCGAGAATGACGTAGAAGAAATTGTGTGAATAGGAAATGGGAGATTATGGGCAATAATGGAACTAGCTAAAGAAGACAGGAGAGAAGACAGTGCTGTGGAGATATGCTGCTGATGCCTTATGTTCCACTCGGAACTTAAGGGAATAATAATAATAATTTTGTATATAGATAAAGCAATAAGAAGACGTAATTTGTCTTAATCGTGTAATGTATTTGCGCAACACATTTCGAACAATCTGATCACGCACGGACTTGTCATAGGAAAAAATATTTATGATATCGATAAAGAGGTAAGAGGTGAGAAAATAGACTACTTAGGTCAAGTTAAAAGGACATATTCAAGGTCAAAATAACAATGAAGACCACTAAACCAAATAGCAGAGGTAAATAGACATCTACCCTGGTATCAAAACAAAATTTACCAAGGAAGGTTTAATGTGATGACGAATTGTTTTTGAACGAATAAAGGTGGCTTGAACTTTCTAATTACGAGAAAAGGCTTCTAAAAACTTTAGGATACGCCCCAAACACGTTTTATAGATAGGTTTAAAAGATGTGTAAACGTCGATTTTATGTCCTGTCTCTATAATGTGTTTCGCAATAGAAGAGCTAGGTCTCCTGTTCTCACCGTTAATAGGTTCTGAAGATTCCATTTGTTTCTGGAGCCATTTTTGAATATGCTCTGAAGCCAGCCCTTACTTGCAGAGATCGATGAGTCCTCCCTATATATGTGTGTTCACACGCACATTCAAATTGGTATATACAGTGGGATGTGACGTCATTTTTCGCATGTTCAAAGGGTTTAGATAGATATAATGGCTTTACATTCTGTATTATTATGATATTAGCTGCATAAAAAGTCTTTTTTAACAGCAGCTTTCAGTCTTTGTCTAGTTATCAAGCTGCTTTGATGTCCCATATAGGGTAGGTAGCTTGATGTACACGTCTTTCTTAGGGGCGAGTTGGAGAGTGGGTCTTGGCATTCTGACTACTTTATATCTCCTGATGAACTTGTCTGGATAATTGTTATCACCAACCAGAGTTTGTGTCAATATTCTTTCTTCTTCATCAAGTGTGTCTTCAGTGCATATTCGTGGGATTCTACTGAAGAGACACCTTACTAAGTATCGAACAGGGCAGAAACTATGGTAATTAAGATACTGTCCTGTCCAGGTAGGTTTTCTTTAGACAGATCTTTTTATTGACCCATCAAGCCGTCGACTAAGCGATATGTCTAGGAAAGATAAACAATTATCTTCTTGTTCTTCAGATGTAAGTGATATGCTATTCTGAATTTCATTCATTAGATTTAAAATTGAGGTGGCAGAACAAGGCTTATCATTGATGACCATGATATCATCTACATACCTTCTATAAAGTGGCACATTTTCGATTAAATACTCCGATAAATTCTCAATGTACGACATACAAATATCTTCTAAAAGGGCCCCTAACGGACTGCCCATAGCAACACCATTAACTTGGCGGAAACAATCACCTTCAAATGTAAACCTAACATTGTTAGTACATAGAAGTAATAAATCCCTTAAGTGAGACATAGGGAACGGGATGAAAAAATTGTTTGTGGGAATATAATCACACAAAATCTCAACTGTTTTGATCGAAGGCACATTAGTAAATAACGAGTTTACATCAGAAGAGTACTGTCTGTCTGTTTTCAACATAGAATTTTGCACATGCGTGCGGAAGTTCAAGTCGCCACACTCCCTCCTTGTAGCACACAAAGCAACAGAAGAAAGTACAAGAAAAGCATAATAGAGACAGTAAACAGAGGTGTGAGACAAAGGAGGAGTAATAACGAAGAACAAAACAGTTTCATTGGAAATCATAAGTCACAAGGAGTGGATGCATCTGCGGCCACTGAGAACGATTTTGAGCCATGTCACCAATTGTTTCCAACCATTGGTTGTGACCGTCCCGGGGACCCCAACCAGGAAGTCTACACCTTCCTACATGGCTGACTTAAACTAACTGTTATGGATTTTATTCACTGGTGCCAAGTTTTTGTTTGACCGCCGCTAGGTTTTTCCCATGCTGACCCTACATCCGCTAACATTGCTCGTCGAGGGAAGCGATGACTTGGCATACGTAACACATGTCCTAACCATCTCAGTTGATGTAACTTCACGACTTCGTCGATTGATTTCCCCTGTTTACCTAGAACTCGACGCCTAACCTCAATGTTGCTCACCTTATTATGCCACTTTACACGGGAGATAGAACGCAGGCACCTATGATCAAAGACAGCTAGTCTTTTCATGTCTTCCACTCTCAGTGGCCAGGTCTCACAGCCATAAAGGAGGACGGAGCGGACTGATGAGCAGTACACACACCCTTTGGTCGATAGTCGGATATCTCGTCTACGCCAGAGTCGGCGTAAACTGAATGAATATGCGAAACGAGCCTCTGTATTCGTGCTGAGATTTCGTCAGAGATCAACCCGTTGGGGCTGATGGTACTTCCCAAATAAGTGAAGCGGTCAACGTGCTCTACCACTTCACTTCCTATTTTAAACTAGGCGTCGATGTAGTCCAGTCCTGTAACATCATCTTGCATTTGGCGGGAGCGAATCGCATGCCAAACATTCGTAGATTGCAGCTCAAGGTGTTTAGAAGACTCTGCATTTATTCCGAGTCTTCGCCTAGAAGGACTATATCGTCTGCATATTCCAAGTCAACGAGATTATTCCCTGGGTAGCAAGTCAATCCCTGAGTCGCTGAAGTCACTTAGGGTTAAGTCCATTAACACATCTATGATGAAGTTGAATAGAAAAGGGGATAATGGGCATCCTTGACGGACACCACTGGTCGTCATCAGTTCAGATGACAGCTCGCCGTAAGCCCTCACCTGGCTGTATGAGTACGAGTAGAGTGCCTTAATCAGTGCAATATATTTTCTCGGAATTCCCTTTACAGCCAAGCATCTCCAGAGAACTTCTCAGTCGACAGAGTCGAATGCTGCCTTTAGGTCAAGAAATATAATGACTGTTGGACGCCGGTAGGAATGCCTATGTTCTAGAATCTGTCGGAGGGTGAAGATATGATCAATACACCCTCTTCCTGGTCTAAAGCCTGCCTGGCTCTCTCGTGTTTGTGCTTCCCGAGCACCACTCAGTCTACGCATGATTATTGAGCCTAAGACTTTAGATACTATATTAGTCAAGCTAATCCCTCTGTGATTATCACAGGAAGACTTGTCTCCCTTCTTGTATATGGGGATAATCAGTGACTTACACCAACCCGATGGGACTTCTTCTGATTCCCAGACGCTGCCTAGTACCTCAGTTAATGGAGACAGTAAGCTGTCTCCACCGTACTTAAATACCTCTGGAGTCATTCCATCAGGTCCCGCTGCTTTGCCTAGTTTCAGATTGGTGACAGCTTTAGTAACCTCAGTTAGGGACGGAGGACCTGTGTCTATATCCCATTCAGGGAGGTGTTGGATGCTCGGAAGGTTGAGCGTGGCTGTGGGCAAATTAAACTGCTCCTCATAATGCTCTTTCCAACGATCCAGTCGTCTATCCTGGGAGCTAATTATAGTGCCATTTTTTTCCGAGATTGTCTCACTAATGATTTGTCTTCTCCCACCCGTTTCCCTGATGAGTCTAAAGAGTTGCCTGGTGTTGCCTATCCTCGAAGCTTTCTCCATCTCTTTGGCTTTTGTCGCCCACCACTGTTCACGGTCCTTGCGGAGACTTTTCGTAAGTTTCCTCTTGTGCAGCTTTCGCTCCTCATTGAATTCGGAGCTCGCCGGAATAAGTCTTCTAGCATCTATCAGTTCGGATGAGGCGGTGGAGATCCAGTGGTTTTTACTCACCTTTGGGTTTACCTTATTCACAGCTTTTACAGCTGTATCTATGGCTGCCTGGATATTTTTCCAAGCTTCTTCAGGGTGAGCACAGCTGTCGAACACAGATATGTGTTTAGCTAGTTCTTCCTGAAATACGGATTTAGTTTCCTGATCGAGCTGGGGACGTGATGGTTTTACCGCCAGCTGTTTCCTACGTCCGTTCAGTCGTAAGCACACCCGAGCGCGGACCAGTGCATGGTCGGTATCTACGCACGTGTTCCAGAAGGAGCGACAATCTCCTACCGACCCACGCCAACGATAGCTTATTGCTATGTGGTCTATTTGTGTCCAGCGTTGGTTTGATGAAGGGGGTCTCCAAGTCAAACAGTGTCTCTCCTTGTGTTTAAAGTTAGTGCTTACAAGAAACAAATGATTATCAGAGCAGAACTGTAGGAGACGGTCACCGTTGTCGGTTCGCTGGCACGGAGCTCCATAGGTGCCACCGACATCCTTCTCAGATTGACACAATTTCCCTACTTGAGCGTTAAAGTCACCAGCTAGAACGACTATGTCTGAGCGTTTAGCCTTTCGCACCAAACTAGACAGCTTTTGGTAGAACTCATCCTTCGTTTCATCTGAACTGCAGTCAGTGGGGGCGTAGGCGGAGATTACGAAAAGGCATCGGCGAGTAGTGCAGTCCTTCCTCCTTCTTACTGATCCGTTCAGGCGGACAGCACACATTCGGCTATCTACCGGGATCCAGTCAAGCAATGTCTTTTCAAAGCTATCCCTACGCCAGCTAATCCTCGTGAACTAGCTGTGGCATCTCCTGACACCCTCAAGGTGAATTTTGCAGATTCAACCTGTTGGCCAGGTGGGGTTAGGTGAATAACCACACTTGGGTCTTGTATGCGTGTTTCTGAAACACAGCATACATCAATGGCTCGTGATGCCAGGGTCTTGGCTAGTGATGCTTGTTGTCCTATTTGGCAAAGTGTCCTAACATTAAGAGCTCCTATATGAAATTGGTGGCGCGGCTTTAAGAGGCTGTCGGTGGTGGTTTTTTGGCTTCCATCGTTTTTAGTGGACGCAGAGTGGAGAGGAAGTGGAGAGCTATCAAGTCGAGGAGTTGCATCAGTGGAAGGAAGGCAAGATGATAGAGATGAAGATGAAGACAAAGATGAGTGAGTAATAGAGAGGTTTCGTGTGCATTTCGGATTGTGAGGGCGATTGTTACTTCCCGGCTGCCCACACCGTGGAAGTTGGTTGCGTGACCGCAGAGCCCAGGGGACAACTGCTTGAGGCCGGTCACACGCGGCCTGTTTTTGTTTGTTCTTTTTGTTTGGTGTGTCTCAGTAGCATATTTATCACTCCTGCCCTGTGACACGGCAGCAGGAAGCGCGGTCGTTGTTAATCCGGGCCACGGCCGATCCGGCATGAAATTTTGTGTTTTGTATTGATCATGATGTTGGATTGGGTAGCTGCTTTTTGTTTAACCGCTATCCAAACAACCTGCCTGGCATGGTAGACCTCAAGAGACATAAGTCTCAGCCAGTATAGCTTGATTAGGTCATTGCGGTGTTCAAGCCTGACCACCACGCCAAGGTAGCAGCTCTCGGTCGGGTACATATTCTTGTTCACCTCTTCCTCTTTATTAATTTCATATATATTTCCATGACAAGTCCGTGTGTGATCAGATTGTTCGAAATGTGTTGCGCAAATACATTACACGATTCAGAAAAATTGTTGCTTTATCTAAATTCATAAAGGGAACTAATTGTTTTAAATTTTTTTGTAGTCATATGGACCTGATTACTAAATTCAGAAGTTATTTTCATCATATGAATGTGATTCTTCAACTCAAGTATGCTTGTATCTTAACCATATGTCTAAATAATCCTAAATTGTAACAATTATTGATGCTTTTTAAGTTAGAATTTCGTTACCTAGAGTAGGTTTTTTATACTCCAGGTCAAGGGCCACACATGTTATGAGAGGCGTGTCTGTACGGATCACTTGTTCAGGTTAAATTAGGCACTAAATGACTAAACGTTGAACGCTTGAGCTAATTAACCATGTTTTCACTTGTATCTTCATGCTGTTTTTAATGTTTATATCATTCATTGGTATCAGTTTCTTACTGGATTCGTAGTATCGTGTTTTTTTTCTCCCGATTATTATTACACTTATCAGTCGTATTTTCATTTTAGGATATGCTGAATTCAGCTTTAACTACCTCAATGCGAATTGTACATACCAGTACGAGTAGTAATTCATCACTGGAACCACCACGTGATCAGTGTCCTTTATGGCGTCCAACTATTGGCCTGTCAGCTTTAGAGTCGTATACACGTGTGCTCAATTGTGATCCACTGACAAATCTTAGTACAAATTTTCACGAGTCTGTTGTAGAAAATAATAATAATAGTGATGATGATGATGGTGAAGAGCGCAGTGCTCGATTGAATGGTTTTAAACGAATTTTCAGTCTATGTCAGGCGTTATGGGGACGTCATCCACAAGAGACGGTGGCTGAGGCAATAGCTGAGACGGATAGTTCTTCTGATAATCTATTCAATTCTAAGCTAATTACTTCTGATTTTCCTATGCTATCTGAAAATAATCCAACATGGAATAATGATGAATATATTAGTAATGAAGTTTATCGTAAATATAATATGATAAATTATCCTGTTAATAAATATAGAGAACTCTCTGGTATGCGATCGTTAGCTAGGAAACAGGCTATTTCTGAATGGATAAGGTAAGTTAGTCGTAATTCTGATCTTTGTTTTATGTACATTCAGTCATATTACTGTATTTCATTGAAATAAAGATAAAACAAACTTCAACTTACTACAAGTAATTTCATATCTATTCCTTTGCATTCCAAGTGGGGTATAACACGCCCAACCTTCCCTGTCTTCCGTTTTTTCTACTGATTAGGCAAGGTTAGAAGGTCTGTCGGTGGCCGGGAATCTAATACAGTCCTCCTGCATGGTTGGCGGGCATTCTACCGCTGAACTAACTAATAACATTACTATTGACTAATTGGTAGTAAGATGTATTCGTTTTTCACGATTTGATTTCCCATCGTTTGCTTCTGCCTTCAAAACGTATCCCATTTAGCTCACAATGGACACAATCTCTTGAGATTATAAGCCGTCAAATATACATTGTGATTCACTGTAGACCACTGGTACGCTCTTTGTTTTGTCTGCCTACTGTGTGAGTATTTTGACGAAACTGGTTGGTAAAGTTTCGCATGAAAATACTAAGGTCCCACTAGTCATATTGAATACATCTTCCTTTTCCCAAGAAATTATAATGTATACCATAAGTTGAATGTTAAAGTGAAATTTAAGGTTAAATTGGGCGTCGGTGGTTTTAATGGTAGGCTGCTCACCACTCATGCGGGGATTCGAGTTCGGTCCCCGACTGTTGCACTCCTTAAACCTTGCGCCTAGTTTTATTAGTAGGCCCGAAAAAATAGGGAGGACGAAGCACTAGGCTAGCAATCCCATTTCGTTAAAAGCAGCATTACCGCCACTGGAATTACAGAAGCTTGAAGTCCTATGTTACGCTTAGGACGCCACCCTCCCTCAAACATTTTGATATTTGTGCAGTTTTTCTCCTTGCATTGCGAGTAATAGTTAATTGTCATATGTGCTTCATTTGACTACCTAATTACTTAAGTAGTTTTCCACTATTCAGTTTAAAAGGTGGCAGTTTGATGTAAGAAGAGACATTGCCTCACTGGATAGCTGGAGATCCATGGTGAAGCCTCTATCAAAGACTATTCATACCCCTGAAACATATGCGTGTGCTCTGATAATTTCAGAAATTTGATCAGTCTTAATTAACTGATTGCTGACGAAATCATTGTGCGTTCAAGTTTCCGGCAGTGACTAAGTTGATTTTCTGGAGTAGGGTCTCCAGCTCCACGCCCAACCTTCTCTCTTTTGTCGTGCTTAGAACTGCGTGCGAGAGTGGCATGGAGTAGATGTTGTTAAGAAGAGATAAGAGCTTATGAGCAATTCTGAAGCCAGCTAAAGACGACTGCGGAAATCAGCAGGAAATGGTGTCGCGCTGTTTTATAAGCTGTGTGGTCCACTCAGAACCTAAGGAAATAATAGTAATAATAATGGGGAAATCTCAGGGCGAATAAAGTAGACTGGTTGATAAGGGTTGGTGACATGGCAAAAAATCTCCTCTGGTGGTGTAAATCCACCCACTCTTTGTAAGCCTCTGGATTCAATAAATCCTCATTATTCTTTCATATGTTTACTCTCTTTATCGTAAATCTTCCGTTGGCTGTAGCCTCATCCTGTGTAGAGAGTTAAGTTACTAGACCTTTCGTGATAATTCAGTTCAGTTAACTTTTTTTTCAGATAATTATCTCTCCTTATTACTAATTATCTCTTTCTTTTTGTCACATTTTTCCCCATTTATACTCTAGAACTCAATCATTACCATGGTTAACATCTCAGTTGAACAGCTTATGTCTAACAGATGCTGCTGGTTTAAATGAAACTGTAACTGATTCACTTGAACCATTTTCGTTGTCCAAGTTGAATTCATCAATTAAGGATAGTAATATCTTAGCTCAAGGAGTATTTGCTTGCTTGGTGTCAGGTGAATCTGGTGCAGCATGTCGTTTGGCGATTGTATCAAGTATGCCAGCATTAGCTTCACTTATAACTCAGTCAACTGCTGGTGATCCAGTTGTCCGACGTGGGCTACAACATCAATTGAGTAAATGGCATGAAATGAAGGTAAATTACCAGTGTTATTGCTTTGTTTTTTCACATAAATACCTCATATTTTGTCTCCTTAAGTTGAATTAATTGAATACAGTATGCACATCAAACAGCTATTATTATTTATCACTAATTTATTCCATTTTCGTTCCAGGTGGAACATAGGGCTTCAAGCTTGAGCTTTAAATTTTCTGTAGTACTGCAGTTTGTAGCTTGATGCCCAGCGTTTCCTCTTTGTCAGGTTTGCAGCCGGCTAGGTTAGGTAAAGAAGTGCACCTGCTGGGAATCGAACCTCGGACCATGTGCATGGTTGGCGAACATTTTACCACAGAGCTACCGTTGAATCATCCACCAGATAACATATTTATCCTCAGATAATGTCAACGCTTGCGTAGCAGAAGCTTATATGTCAACCCGGACCGAACATATTATAATCACTTAACAGAAAATATGGAATTAACCTGAAAACAAATAGCATTCACCGCATTAAAGTGGTGGGGGTGTTCCTCACAAAAGTAAAAGTGTGTGAATGCGAGTGTCTGGCGTTTACGATCAGACTGGGATGGAAAATTCTGATTTCAAAGCTATTGTGTACATGACCTCCAGAATCCGATAGGAACTGATGACGTAAGAACTTGTTTTGGTCACCGAAAAACCATGTGAACGCTGCTTCTGACTAGTTTCAACGTAAAACTTTGTACCGATGTACACCTGTTCGAGTTGTCACTCTCCACTAATCCACTTCCATTTGGATTATAATTCAAGTCAAAGGCTCGGGAGGCGTGACCCCTTAAGACAACCACCAGCTTCTGGTTTTGCTTTCGGACAGTATCTCAGCCATCACACCAACTGTGAGATTTTGTGTGGCGCATCCATTGGTGCTCATAATTTACCAAGTTTGTGTATTAATAATAAGTGTTGTTAAGTGGTCGATAGGAAGGTGAGTGGTAAAGCATGATGTCTGGTTAACAGAATTGTCGTTTTCATCTAGTTATATCACTTAGATTACAACTATATTTTTATGAGCATCTGCAATGTCTTTCTATTGGTATTAGATGGTTAGAGACAATTCTCGGGAAGTCATGGATCTAAATTTCGTGCATGGCGTACCTTCAACACTTAGGCAACTGACATCCCCTATCATGTTCGAGCGTACCATATCCACCACCATCTTCAGTGAATTTACCCTTGAGTGAGTTATTGGGGGTCACGACTGACCTCCTGTAAGATTGTATTGGATACAGTGATCAGTCCAAAGATGGTGCGCTGCTATGGCGAGTCACCCAGCTTTCAATGACCACATTACCAACTAGACTGATAGAGTTCAGTTGGCAACAACATCAAAGACTAGATACGTGTCATTAATTGCTCCCTGGTGACTGACGAGTGTAAATCTTTATTATTTTCCCCCATCAACTCACTTTTCCACATACAGTAGTCTTCTGTTGTCGTTTTAATATGTATCTGTTAAATGATTTAGCTTTAGGACTGAAAAAATTGTGTTTGTCCTGTACATACACATATCCGCCCGGTTGCCATTATAATAGCAGTTAATCATATTATTGTATTGGCATTCTTACCATGTACATTTTTCTACTCCGGAGTATTCTCTATCTATTTTTAGTTTGATCGGCAAATTCCTATAAATATGCTTCGGGTGTATTGCTTACTCGCTGGATTAACTGAATTTCCTCATCCTACGGATTCAAAAAACATTTGTGTACTTGCTGGACTGGATTGGATTCAAGCATTTGGTGCGCATATATGGTATGTATGCGATTATAGGCTGAATGTGGCGGAAGTTCTAGAGGCTTATAGTGAAACTTGGCATTATGATGAACGACCCAATTCTAAAAATGGAGTTCCACGACCATCTCCACCGACAGTTGATAGACTTCTTGATCCTAAACGGTCTGTTTCTTCAGTTACAGATTATCCGATAAATGATGAAATTAAAGGTATGTTCTTTTTCCTACTGTATTTTATCTTCGATTCGTTTCTTTCCAAATGTAAGATGCTGCTGCTTGGTTACACTACACCGACTTCTTGCTTAAAGATAGGGAGGAAAGCGGTAGGGTGTGTTGAACTGACTACTGACGGAATCTTAGCACGGATACAAAAAGCTCCTGTCATTTCTGGTGAGGATGTGATATCGGGCTATTGATCAAAGAAGCGATTCGCTCTGTCCTCTCTTAAGGTTGTAAAACATGGCGACCAAAGGTGAATGATACGAAAAGCTTAACTGTCTTTGACTACAGATAGTTTGCAGTCTGTCTCCCGTATTTGGTAGTATAATGCCGTGAGCATTATTCAGGTTAGACATACAGTGTTGGGTAAGAAGAGCATATATGTTTGACGGAGTTGTGAAGCCACATAGATTGAGATGGCTAATGCACATACTGCACATTCCGATACAACGCCTTTGACGACTGGTAATGTTAGCTTACATAGGATAAGGTTAGAAAAGAGTTAGAACTGGTCGAATCAAACTCTGACATCAGTGCATAAAGTCTCAAACAGTTGGTTTGAGCCAGTCATGTAGGGAGGTGTAAACTGTCTTCTTAAGGTCTTCTGAATGCTAATAATAAATGGCTAGAAACTGTTGACGATATAGCTCAAAATCGTTTTCAGTGGCGCAGATACATTCACTCATTGTAACACTTCAGACTTACTAGTCCTCACATCTTCTCATGTTACTTTTCTTTCTTCTGTACACATTATAGTTCATTTGAATCCTTTTTTTGCCTATGTGTGGTGCATAAAATGTAGCAGCTCAGTTAGTCAGTCTATTGTGGCATGTTTGCATTTGTTTGAGTAACCTTCGGATATTTACTCTAAATTCTATTGCTTTATTTTATTCCTCATAGGTCCAAATGCTGAAATTGAATTTCGAGATTGGCCTCGTGATACAGCTTATCATCTTTTAGAATTGTGTCGGAAACCATTTCATTCTTTAGAAAGAACATTAGATCCTTGTTCATTCAGTCGACATTCTTCTTCTACAACGTGTACATTTGATCGTATGAATTTATTAGATTGGTCATTGTCTTGGCATTTATGGCGTTTTTTAGTCTCTTACGGATATCATCATTTTTATGATGATTTCTCTGAAGATTTTATTGGAATATCTACGCGTATTTGTAATGAATTTGCTAGCCAGTTAGAAGCTGCAGGTCTATGGGAATGGTCAATATTTGTACTATTACATATTGATAATGCAAAAATTCGAGAAATTTCAGTGAAATCTCTTATTGGTCGACATGTATCCTTAGTGTTGCCTTCAAGTCTCGGGCATGTTGCCCAAAAGAATTGTCCTTCTAATTTATCAAATATAGATTTTATGTCGAATCAGATCAATCTTGTACCTGCACCATCGTTCACTAAAGCTGAATTATTTGTAGTCAATCGTCTTGGTGTTCCAGCTCGATGGATTCATGAAGCTAAAGTAAGTCGATATTCGAGGCTCTTCGAAAAATTCTTAAACTTAAAATTCTTAACTTATTGAAAGCACAAAAGTAAAGAAGAACAACAAAATGGTATCTGCGAATTTCACTGAAATCTAGGTTCTCCACAAAAAACTCAAACACTAACACATCTCTACATGTTTATTCATTGCGTGTGAAGGGTGTACAGATATTCTAGCGAACTTTCACTTACCTCATAGTTGGCGTCTGTCCATAAACTTTATCAGTTTGTGTCACTGTCACAGTTTGAGGTCAGCGCATTCATGAAGCACACGTCTACCAGCTATACTCATTGGAAGTTGTTGCAAAATCCTGCAGCAAGGATATGTTCGATATCATCAGTGACTGACTGGTAAACGACACAAGACGGATTGAACATACCACCTTCAGATTTGATAGTCTTAGCTAAATTATATGATTACCTTACTTATTGATTCGCCTGTTGCTAAATGCACTTATGTCGTATAATTTTTACACACAATGGAATCAGTTATATATTCTCTTAGTAGGTTGTCTAAGAGATATCATTGGAAACCAAAAAAAAGCACAGAACGTTTCGTTCTCTAATTTCTGGACGCTACTTCAGAATGCTTCTAGTTTAGTGTCATCGCTCAAAATCCACCCGCTACTTTCTCCTGTCTTGCTTTTCAATACTGCATATATCTTCTCTATAATCTATTTTATCATACATATAGTACTGAATTCTTTTCCTGAGTCATATTCTCAGTTTTAATTGAACAAAAGATGTCCATTAAAAATTTTAGAAGACTGACTAGGGAACAAAGAATATTCTTTTCGATAATTTCTTCTGTTCAATAACCCGAAGGACAACATCCCACTGTTGACCAACACTATGTGTGTTTATCAATTCACCTGCTCGTGTGGAGCTAGGTGTATCGGTCGTTCGACTCTAGTTTTGTCCAAGAGGGTGCAAGAACACTATCCTGCATGGCTACGGAAATGGGGAAGTGGAGCAATAAGAAGCGCGATCATTGAACATTTGTTTATTTTATTTATTTTTTATTTTTGATTACAGCTTGATTCCACACCGTATTTTTGGTACAAGTGTGGAATTTTCAGCATGGATATCGGTAGCCCACATTTTGCAGGTCGACCATAGATATCAGGTGTGCGTCGGTAGGGGGTCGAACCTCGGACCATGTGTATGTTCGGCGAGAGTTCTAACCATTGTGCCACCGACGCAATATATATATATATGACAGAGAGAGACAGGGCAAGCAAACGAAAGATAATGATCACCCTATCTCTATAGCCTCCGCCTTTAAAGTCATCTACAAGGCAAAGAGTAATCTACCCAAATCCCTACTTACCCGACTAATCTGTATCGCTGAAGCCATGTCTAGCTATCGAAACAGAAAGCCAGATCTCTGTGTACAGAAAAAGGTTGTTCAACCCCTCCAACTTTCATGGTCTTAACCGCTCTATGCTGAAGTATGGTAATCCCCAGTCACATTTTATCTCTACCAATTTTTCATTTTCTCAATTTGTCTATTCAACTTGTATACTCTTCCTTATTAAGTCAATTGTTATTATTACTATTCTCCCTTTGAACTGTCCCCGGTATTATTTCACTTGTTCCACTTGTCATTCTAAATCAATTCGTTTTTACAATGTTAAATTCTATGCTATCAAATTTCACACAATATTACGTAACGTTTTTGTTTTATTCGATTTGTCTACTAATCCTATAATTGCATATCCTTTTTCAAGTTCTATCCCTCCTATGAATTATTCTATATATGACATTTATTTGCTTTGCCACTTGACATTTAACTACGATTATAATCACAAACATTTTAGTTTTAATTGAACTTCATATGATTATTATTATTTTATGCATTCACACCTAAGATTCAATTCCCTCACCGGATATAACTTCTTAAAAACCATAAATATATACGACTGTACAGCTTGATGATAAATTCGTTGAAAAGAGTCTCTTTGCTGAATTACTTGTTTTGATTTTCTATATGTTACAAAGGGAATTTTTCATGAACTTCTTCTTCAACAGGTTTTACATTTATATGGCCATAATAATTCAATAATTCAGTAATTCCCATTGTAACATTAAGAACACACTATTCAGCGGAACGACTCTTTTCAACGAATTTATTATTAACCTGTACAACAGTATATAAATGTAGGCTTTTCTTAAAGAAATTATATCCTGGGTGGAAATTTAAACAACAGTGTTTGTGAGAATACATAAAATAATAATAGTAGTATAACATGCAGTTAAAATGTTTGCGATTATAATCATAATTAAATATCAAGTGTCAGGTGGCAAAATAAATAATGTCATATGTAGAATAGTTCATCTGTCTCTCTCTGTCTGGATTCAACATAGAACTTGGTATCGAAGTCCAGCAGTTCCAGTTGCCACGTTCCAAATAGCACACAAAGGTAGACAAGAAGAGGAGTGAAGAGAATCAATAGAGTTTGACAAGTATAAAAGCGAAACAGAATGGGTAATGGTAGAAAGAAATATGAAAGATTACAGAGACTGAATACATCTGCGCTGGCCATTGACAACGATTTTCAGCCATGTCACCTATTGTCTCCAGCCATTGATTCCTAGAATCCGGAGGGCCCCAACCCGGAAGTCTGCATCTCCCTACCAGACTGACTCAGTTGAACTGTCGAGGATTTCATGGACTGACGGCATGTTTTTGTTTGGCCACCAGAATAGTTCATAATGTAACAACAGAAGACATGGGCCAGGCAACAGATCGTTTATTAAGGAAATCAACACGTATTTATATATTTTTATGTAAATATTATAGATTATTGTCAGCAGAAAAACACAGTCTTCTGAATGGTTGTTTCTCACAGAATGTTAACCTTGCATCTCTTTGTGACTGTTTCTTGAATGTCAGATCATCTATATGTTAACTGTATCCGCCTGCGCGAAGCCTTTGCTGTCATTTTTCTCACGACCAATATTGGGGACATAAACATTGATGTAAATTACTGTCCACCAATTTCGACTAACAGCCAGCTCTCACCACAATATGATGTATAGATATTGGATAGGGGTGTATATTTTTAGGATTAGTAGGCAAATATATAACAGTAATAGTAATAATTGTACTAGTGAGGGAAAGTTACATAGATTAACTAACTAAATAAAAAAATATAAATAAATAAATGTTTGTTCCTCCACGTTCAAGGCAGAAATAGTGACTGAATATGCTTCTTTTGTAAACAAAGATCAGGCTTCAATCCGTGAATGTCCAAGACCTCCGTTGTTTGTAGATGTTTAAAAGGAAGGCAACACGAAAAGTTAGCATGAATTCTATAGATGATCTTAAAATCATGGTCAGAGTTGGTAGAATAATGGAATACGATCAAGTGCTGTAGAATAGAGCTTTGCACACCCTTCCTTTCTCCCGTGAGTTATTACCGTTTTATATATCATTGAACCAACAAGATCAGTCAGTAGATTACAGTTCAGAAGCTATATTGGTCGAAAAACTAGACAGCTCAACAAACTCATTAATGAGCGTCTTCCTGTATGGTTCGGAAAAGGTCAAATGAAATATATAAGAAGTTCTATTGCAGCTCATTTGATTGATAGGCCTCATCAAGTGGACAAAAGAAGTCCCTTCAAAGTTATCTATTGCATTCCATCGAACCTTTCGAATAGAATTCGAACCCACCTTTTACACATAGCCGAAACTATGGTAATTAATTCATGAGAATAATCCTAGTATTAACATACAAAAGAAGTTTGTTCTATTTTTGTCTCTCCCTTGCTTAGCCTACGCGAATTCTAATCAAAAACCACTCACTCTCTTGTATTTTCCATTTCCTTCGTACTTTTATGATTTCTATTTAAACTTTTGGTAATACGTAACTTTTAAGATTCGGCCTAATTTGTTTATAGAATTGTCTACATATACACACATTACTACCTTCGTTATTCTTATTGGCGCCTGCATAAACCTTATTATCAATAATTTGTTATCATTATGATCACCGTTATTAACGACATTCAAAATATTTACCACAATATTATTATTATTATTAGATCCACAAAATCACTGTCATTGGTTAAAATTGTTATATATAAATCTAAATAAATTAGAGCAAAGCCTGAGGAAGTTCTATTTGAAAACAGTATTGTTGGCTTATATGTCTTGTTCTAATATGAATAATGGGAATGTTTAAATATATGTAAGTAAAAATATGCATAAATATTACACTAAACTGAATATCAGATAAATTCAGAGAAATAATACAAGTCCCACAACAAGCCGGGGTAGCAACAGTGACTAGACCTGTTTCTTTTTACATGCAGAGCACTATTTGTTTTAGGCGAATTGCAATGGCCTATGCTGTTTGAAGTGTTTGGTATCTAGGGCCCTTTGATAATTTATCCTATATCCAATAGATAATAGGAGAAGACCGTTCAATACTAACTTTATAGCCTGTTTAGACGAGGCGATCTAATGCAGAACTGTTGATGGTTCCAACTACACCTTTATTTAACCACACTGATGTAGGTGTTCGGAGCACGAAAATCTAAGTTCCTAGAACCAGTGGCCAACTTAACTTAATGGCCCCACAGGTGCATTTGAGTTGTGATAGATGCAATAAGAGGTGGCTAGTATAGCTACTTCGTCTTTCAGCTTCGGAATCACAACTAAATCTGGAAAGCTTTTCGTCTGATTATTATTATCATTATTACCTAGCACTTATTTATTTATTTATTTCCCTATTTAGGCTGTATTAGCAAGGCATCGTTTAAAGGCTTATTTACACGCGGCAGATGTAAACACTGTCACAGAACATTCTACGTTAACGTCTACAGAAGATCATCGTAGTCAATTTTGTTTATTTGCCATACTTGAAGCAAGTCATTGGTTCGCTGCTGGATGTATTCAATCTGTAGATGAAGTTTTATCAAAGTATATATTACCACAGTTGATTGTCAATACAAATATATCACCGTATTCAGCTTTCTTGTCAAGATTTGAATCAGTGTATTCTGCATTAGGTCGTCGAATTGTTCAGTTGCTTGAACCATATAATTCTTTAACACAAAATTGTCTACCTACAGATTTTCATTTAGGTGAGTATTTGAATATATATTTCACTGAACGTGCTTTACTCTTTTCCATAACAGAGTTATAATATTTAAACTCCAACACCACTTCAGCCTGGGAAATGATAAAGTTGGGTTTCCGGTAGTGAAGTGGACAAGATCGTGTAAGAAGGAAGTGCGAAATCGTAGTGTAACAACAGAAGACAAGGACCGGCAACAGATCCTTTTATTACGGAAATCAACACGTATTTGTATATATTTCATTTACATTATTATAGCTTATTCAAGGAGACAAACACAATCTTCTCGTTGGTTGTCTCTGGTTTCTCAGAAAGTTAAGCCATATATCTGCGAATCTTATTTGCCCACGTCAAGTCTGCTGTGATTGGTTGTTGAATCAGCCTTGTTCATATTTTCTCACGGCCAATATTAGTGACCTAGACATTGACGTAAACTAATGTCTGACAGTTGGCTAGCAACCTGCTCTCACCACAGTAGAACCATTTGGAGAATACTGCAGAGAACAGCATGAAGTGCATATGTACTGTTGAATCATTATGTACCACTCACAACCCCAAAGGAATAACAATGACGATAACATTTGTCTCAGCTAGAGATGTGTTCGTTGACCATTTCTGTATTATTTATACAGACAATCTTCCTAAAGCTACTCCCTGAATGTTTTACGTTTTATATACAGAATGCATTTTTTTTCTCGCATATGAGTGTCATTTCAAGGTGTAATAGAAATATGACACCCAGAACAGATCCTCCATGCACCAAGATATATAAGCAACATATTGTATTGCACCAAGGCTTGATGATACTGCCCGCTTACTCAGGCTAAGTTAAGAGGGAGTGAGCACCTCCTAACATGACTACCTCAAAATAATTGTCAACGCCTTCATAGATTGATGTCAGGTTTTCGATCTGACCATTCCTGACTCTTTTCCAACCACATAAACCTCTGCCAGCAAACATTGTTCGTTTGGGAAAAACCGTGACTCTCGACATGCGTGACACTTGTCCTAGTCATCTCAATCAAAACCATATAATCTATTTGTGTGCTGATGTGCTCCATACAATTTGTGAATAAATTCGCATGATTTTCTGATTACCCTTTTTGTTCTTTGTTTTTGTCTAAAAAAGGTGTTGGTGTTTATCGATCATTTGGAGAACTACTCTGTCTTGTAGATAAACTTACACATTTCTGTAAACTTTCATCAATAGACAGTGTATATAGCCCTTGTAGAAAGCGGATAAAAGAAGATACTACTGACTTGAATCATCTCGATCAATTGGCATCAATTCTATCAAAATTGAAATCTAAAGTTGCCAGTGTAACAGAAGAGATCAATGTTATGAAGGTTACAACATTTCTTGAAAAGTAGGTATATATATATATATATATGCACATGTTTTAATATGTACCGACCACGTAGTCATGTGGAAGTTATAGTGATAATTCTATTTTTGCATTTTAACCATTGATGTCTGTCTGTTAGTTATAAAAACAATTACATTGCTAAGACTGAAAGTAAAGCGGCCAGCGGAATGACGTTAAACAACCGATCCGATGCGCTTCATTCTACAAATATCGACTGTTTGGATAATAGGTTTATGGGAAGGGCCAATCATCAGACGTGTTCTGGTAGGCAGACCAACTATTTACATGGCGATTTATTCTCGTCGGGCTGTATTCTTCATAACACTCTGTATGTCATTCTTCCGATTTTGTTTATCTGTTGCGTAGCGAGCACACCGATTCCAAAGAACGACTCTTGACGCATTTGGAGAACAAGATTCAAGTGATAATTGAATCATCTAACTACATGAAACACAGTTATCTCAGTGGATTCATGCACTAACTCTAAGATCCCTAGTAACGAACTGTCGGGACACTTCTAAGAGATTACCATCCTGCATAATTACTTTGTCCTACTTATTCTGTTTTCTATAACTCCTTGATCGCATGGATCACTGTACTTTTTTCTACCCATTACATGAGTTGATAGATATGTATTTATCATCAGATGGTTTTGAGAATTATATCAAAAGTCGATAAAGTACTTCACTGTCCTCCAGATGTTTACAATCTTCCTTTTTTATCAAGTGTGTTGGTTTACAGGGATTTGATTGGTTATAGGTTTGATCACGAGATGACATTAGTTAGAAAACCACTGGAAATCCAGGGACAGTTGTCTCTTCCCAGGTTGGGACTCGTTGTCGGCACGCATACACCGGGGTTCGAACCGTGCTGGGTAGTTTTGGAATTCTAGTAGTGCTTGGGTTATTCTTACGAAGTGGGGCTGCTAGCCTCACACCCAACCTTCTCTCTGTTCTAGGCTCACTACTTAATGGGCCAAGTTCGGGAACCAAGCATGGTCTACGTGCGTGGTTGGCGGGAATTCTACGCGTCAACAATCGGAGCACGACACATGTTTAGAGTATAAGTAAATAGGTAGTTAAAATGTTTGCTTGCGTTTCCGACTGCGGTACCTATCATCATCCTTACTAGAATAAAAGGAAAAAGTGCATCGCCGCTCATGGACAGTAGTGTAAGTGGCCATTCCTTAGAAATGAGCAAAAGACATAAATTTTATTACTGTGCGATTTGTATTGATATTTATCGATATTGGAAATATTTTCATATACTAGATTTTCACAAGTGGCGTAAATGCTGCTGTGGCTTTTGAAACAGTAGGTTCAGGGTTCAATTCACAATGACGACACCATCATCTATTACTGGGGCTGAATGTGGGTACGCTCTGATGACGAGCCCCAAACAGGACGAAATGTAGATTTCGGAGTCCACTGCCGGTTATCATGCACCAATTGACCTTCGGCTAAGCTATAGATGAAATGTAGTAATCGCTTGGCACACTTACTTGTCTACACTCATTAGTCTTTGAAAAATCTAACGTTTTTAATGTCTAGATTGACTGGTTTCAACATAGAAGACAGGTGATCACTAGGCATGCGTAATACATGTCCTAGCCATCTCAATCGATTCAGCCTCATCGATTGATCTTCCCTCCTCGCCTAATACTCTACACTTAACCTCTGTTATTCACCCTATCATGCCACCTAACATGGGAGAGGGAATGCAGACAGCTAGTCATTTCATGCCTTCTACTTTCAGTAGCCATGTCTCACAGTCATAAAGGAGGGCGGAGCGACCTTCTGAGTAGTACACACGTCATCCCATCGATATCCAAACAGTACCAGAAATGACGTAAGTTGGCAAATGCCAAATGAGCCTTTTGTATCCGTGCTGAGATTTCGTCAGTGATCGATCAAACCGTTGGCTGATGGAACTTCCAAATAGGTGAAGTGGTCAACGCGCTCTACCACTTCACAGCCTGTTTTCAAGCTAGAAGTCGATGTAGTCCATTCCTGTAGCATCATCTTCCATTTGATAGGATCAAATCATATGCTAAACATACGAAGATTGTTGCTCAAGGTGTTCAGAAGTGCATGCATTTTATCAGCGCCTTCACCTAGGAAGGAGGACTGTGTCAGCCATATATTCTGAGTCAACAAGACTATTACCTGATGACAAGTTTATTTCTAAGTCACTGAAGTCAGTTAGGTGTTCATTCCATTAGTACATCTCTGACGGACACCACTGGTATAATGCGTAGAACGTTTCGGATAATTTTAAGTCTGTGTCTTTCTCTTGCTATTATTATTAATACTTAAATATTTCTAATATTTTTAGGGTTGTACGCACTGAAATGGCTGCCGTGTGTATACATTTAACATCAGCCTTCCTGGCAGCAAGTTGTTTAGAAGATACAACAACAACGGGTGAAAATGAAGACGCAGAAGACAATCTACAGACAGATGAGCAACAACAACAACAACAAATCAGTAACCGAGAACAAATCACAGTAGCTTATTTAGAAAATCAACTGATCTCTATGACTAAATTAGGTCTGCCTGCAGACTATCGATTAAAAGAATTACGTGCAGTTGCAGAAGTGAAATTATCCTTGAGTATGGTGTAATTAAATTAATAGTATGCATGTATATGTACGGTGTAAAAATAATCCCCTTTTGAAAACACATCTTGACACCTCACTCTCTCCTAAACAACAATTTCTTTCTTTTAGCTATCCATGTATGTGTATATTCTTTCTCTCCTTCACTGTTTTTTTATAATGATGCAAAAATAATTAATTTCAAGAAAAGAGATTAAAACTTTTATTGAAAAAGAAAGAAAGTATATATATTCTAGAAATTGTGCTCGTTGCTGATTCGATGCGGTTATCATCATTAAAGTTACTACTTCAAATGCAGAGAGAGAGAGAGAGTATTGAATTATGCAAGACAGCGATTTCTTTTTCACTTGTCCACCTCTTCTTCTGTTGAATCATCTGACTTTTGATTGTCTTCTTTTGTTTGTTGAAGTAATTCAAGGACATGTTGTACAGGTCGTACACGTCCATCTTCACCTATGGTTCCAGGTTGAATTAATCCGGATCTTTAAAACAAAAAATAAGAAAAGACGGATTCAATATTAGTATTAGTCGTCGAGTCGCGCAATACTTAGACAAGCAAATACGTCTTTGTTCAGTCTTTACAATTAACATAAAATACTAATCATAGACATTTGAAACCGACACTTGCTTAGTAAAACTAGGCAATCATAAAAATAGTAAATTCATGCAAGTGTTTATAAAATCTAGGTTTTTAGACATTCTGAGTGTGTTGCGTAGAGGCGAAAGTAATTATTGTCTCACGGCAGTTAGGATAATAAAGTGTTTGGTTTTATAACAAATTGTTAAACTAGGATTACAGTTTAGTAGTGTGAAATATTCCCATATCCCATGAATTAAAAGTCAATCTGAACGAAGAATATTCTTTTCAATAATTTCTCTTCAGGTTCTTACAATTATAAAATGTAATATTTGTAGTCGTTACAATAATGGCCAGTTAGGCCAGTGGATGTATTTATTATTAACGTAGAATAAAAGATCAGTAATGGGGTATCAAAATAAGCAGTGCTAGGCTGAAATTGATTACAAAATATTGTGAAATGCAAGACAATGGTGGTGATTATGCATAATAAATTCGTAGAGTGTGTGGTAAGAAAAATTGACAAGTCAGTTGAAGGTTATAAAGGTGTCAGGTGAGTGGTTGGACATCGCATCGACGCCAACACAGGCTTCAGGGTAATATACCGAAGTCGTTACCAAGTACAGTTCGCTTACGCCTCCTACGCATAGCTGAAGTTGTTGCAATACGATCGACCAAATGAGAATTACGTATCCAAAAGGAACACGCTCAGACGCTGTTCCTATCGTGGCCAAACTTAGATTGATGATTCTTCTTCTCACCAAAAGTGCTTCTTCCCCCTGACCCTCTTGGTTTTTTTCTTTTGCTTTTTATTACAATTATTATTATTCGTCATAATTTATGCCCTTTATGCAAACATTCTCTCAATACTATCGAAATTTCCATTTATACTATCCGGACTTATTATTAGTGATATCTCTTTTCTCAACATATGCCTCCACGTGTTTCATTTTACCCACTGGTTGCTTCATGATAAACTTCTTGTCGCAGTCTTTTTGTGTCATCCTTAATACATACTACTTATACTAGCCACTCTGTCTGTCTGTTTTCGCCTCTCACTCACCTGACACCTTTTATAACCTTGTCAATTTTTCCTACCACACACTCTACGAATTTATTATGCATAATCACCACCATTGTCTAGCATTTCACAATATTTTGTAATCGATTTCGGCCTAGCACGTTTGTCACAAAAACACTACTTATTTTGACACCTCATTACTGATCTGTTATTCTACGTTAAAAATATATATCCACTAGCCATTATTGTAACGACAACAAATATTACATTTTATAATTGTAAGAACCTGAAGAGGAGAAATTATTGAAAAGAATATTCTTCGTTCAAATTTACTTTTAGTTAAGATTAAATATACAGTAAGGTACAATGATAATGATATTAAAGAGACTAGAATAGGCGGAGCTTATATTTAAAGTTATGAGATTAGTCGTAGTGTGCCTATATTTCAGAATTCATCGAAGGATGAATATATGACCAATACACCCTCTTCCTGGCCTACAAAATCTGACTGATTTTCCCAAGCAACAACTAGTTTTACGCATGATTACTGAATGTAGAAGTTTAGGTTCTGTGTTAATCAAGCCTATTCCCCTCTCTTCTTACAAAAATTGGGATAATCAGCTATTTGTCTCAGGCTAATGGCACTATCTCTGGTCGCTAAACAACACAGCACTGCCGTCCTTAAACACCTGTGGAGTCACTGTATCAAATCCGGCTGTTCGGCCTCATTTCCCATTGTTAGTTTGCCCTTTACCGACTGTACAGCTTGTGGCGGTTTTATAACCAGTGTTCCGACAAGGGAGTCATGTGCCCACTGTAGCAGAAACCCTCAATCGTTTACAAAGTGCCAATCTATTCAAAGTTCTAGACTTCCAGTCAGGACACTGGCAAATGCCAGTGAACACATGGCGACAGAGATAGAACAGCTTTCATTGTGGGGCAAAAACAATATCGGTTTAGATTTGTGCCGTTAAAACTAGCAGCTGCACCTTTTACATTCAAACGATTGCTGATGTTGTTACTTAAAGCTTGACGACCTCGCCATACACAGTCAGACTCAAAGTGATCATGTGGAACATGTATATGCCGTTTTAAGGCGCATTACCAAAACAAATCTCAGATAGCCAAACAGAGTGTCACGCTGCTGGCGAGTTAAAACCGCTACCTGAGGAAATCTTGACAAAAAAGACCTTTATGCCCCCCTCCCCAAATTCCAAGAGAAAGCTAAGACTGTTCTTGGCAAGAACAGCGTTTTACAGTCCGTTTATGAAAAAGTCCAACGAGATAGCAGCTCTAGTGTGGAGACTACTGAATAAACCCAAGTTTGGTTAGTCGGAAGATTGCCAGAAGACATTCGACTGCTTTAAACAGCTTTTAAACTAACAGCAAAGGATGCTAAAGCTACCTTCACACACACGGAAAACCGTCCACGATGTGCACAGATACGAGTTTTCAGCTTTGATATCAGTAGTTCAGCAGCTATCACTCCTGGAAGTATTTCTCTCTATATATATACACCCTCATCATAGAAACTTTCATAAACTTCAGTGGATATTCGTTTTGATATAACGAGCTCTCCCCATTTCCTTTATTTCATTATTCAAAGTGTAGAGTGTAAGGATTATTCTAGCTCGACACACATCAGTATGCTGATAAGATTTTCGTTTGCATGCAAAAGTTAAAATTAGCAGCTCACATTTCACCAACTCAATGTTTGTTAATATGTAAAACATCTAATGCACAACATACCTTTCAAGTTTATCAATCTTTTGTACTAAATCCATAGCTAGATATTCTTTTTGTTCATCAGACATATTGTCTATAGGATTTGCTTTTGGAATTTCCCATCGCCCTGTTACGGGATTGACATCATCTTTCAAGCTTTTATACTCTTCCGTTTCAGATTCAGTAGATGTTTCAGAATATTCAACATCTGATGATAGGGCATTTGAATTCGAGTTTCTGTTAGCTTTTGACGGTTTCCCGAGTAGTGCGTGGCGAGCTAAGAAACCGGCGAAATTTCCGAAACCAGTGTATTTCACAGCTCTTCCAACTGAAAACAAAGTGTTATTTAATGAAGATAAAATTAGATTAGGCTATATATATATATATTAGAATACTTAAAACTGAAACTTTAAAGCCCAAGATTTAAACTGTATTTCTCTTTCGGAACGCAAAGGATGAAAATAAAATCAAGCCAGCATTACTTGCATATGTCTGTCTGTTTTCGACATAGAACTTTGCACATATGTGCGGAAGTTCAAGTCGCCACACTCCACTCCTTGTAGAACACAAAGCAACAGAAGAAAGTACAAGAAAAGCATAATAGAGACAGTAAACAGAGGTGTGAGACAAAGGAAGAGTAATAACGAAGGACAAAACAGTTTCATTGGAAATCATAAGTCACAAGGAGTGGATGCATCTGCGCTATTCACTGAGAACGATTTTGAGCCATGTCACCAATTGTTTCCAACCATTAGTTGTTACCGTCCCGAGGACCCCAACCAGTCAGGAAGTCTACACCTTCCTACGTGGCTGACTTAAACTAACTGCTGTAGATTTCATTGACTAGTACCATGTTTTGGTTTGACCGCCGCTGGCTCTTTTCCAGCCTGACCCTATATCAGCGAACATTGCCCGTCGAGGGAGGCGATGACTTGGCATACGTAACACATGTCCTAACCATTTTTCTCAGTCGATGTATCTTCACAACTTCGTCGATTGATTTCCCCTGTTTACCTAGCGCTCGACGCCTAACCTCAATGTTGCTCACCTTATTATGCCACCTTACACGGGAAATAGAACGCAGGCACCTATGATCAAAGACAGCTAATCTTTTCATGTCTTCCATTCTCAGTAGCCAGGTCTCACAACCATGAAGGAGGACGGAGCGGACTGATGAGCAGTACACCCGCCCTTTGGTCGATTACTTGCATATACATGCTACTGTGATCCATTATTGATCTAGACGCTTGACTTCCAACTAAAGAGTCGGTGGTTCGAACCCCGCACCACTTACCTAGGTTTGGACAGCCAGATGGTATCATTAACCCTCACGTAGTGCCGACAGTATTCGCAAGTGGTTGTTGACCTAACTCACTGTAATATTAAAATGTGAAGACAAAAGATGCATATTTTACTCTGACTAGGTAATCGTATATTATAAATTTGAACCGCATGGCGTAAACAACATGGAACTCCGACAACGAACCAACCAAGGGCCTATAGCCCAACAAATACACTGAAGTAAACAGAGATGGATTACACATACTCTGATGGACACCGTACCAGCCCGAATATGAAACGACAAGTCGGGTGTAGGTCCGAGGGTGACGTAGGGGAGATGAACACTTGTAGGCAATTATTGAGCCAACTAAAAAGGACTGCAGAGGAAAATACTGATTTGCGGCTAAAACCCCTACGTTTCACTAGGAACCCAAGGGAATGATAATAATTATCATTATCATAGAAGCTAATTGAATATTTTGTGTCTGTATCGAAATTTCCCTGAAGTAACAGTGGTTTGATGGATAAGAAACACAATGTACTTTGTTTGGAACGTTATTCAGCACATAACATTCTTTTTAGTAGCTTAATAATTTTGGTTCCCAGTATTAAGAAACCTAAACGAGTAAGGCAGCAAAGCGCATTTGTGTGTACCAGTCCTAAGTGACACTTATTTTTTATGGTATGACTACTAATACTATTTAACCGCCTCAATAAATAGGCACAATACTGGTGTTTGGACCATGTAACTAATCGGTTGAAAATTAACTATACAAAACAGTCAGCTAGGCCTTTCAATCCGTGTAAGCGTTTCCCGGGAATGATATTCTCCGACTCACTGATGCGTTATAATTATGGTGCTCTATTTGTGTAACACTTCTAGTAATGAGTATTTCAATTTAAAGATGTCTACAGACTAACGAGATTAAATTGAAATCAGTCCATCTTACCTATAAATTGTATCACTGGCTTTCCTTCCATCGATATTTCCCAATGCACATGAAGTATATCGATGGTTTATTCGTAGAATGGCCGCCAGTCAGTTATGAAGGAGGGCCAGTTTTGGCTCCACACCGACGCACTCCTAAACCCCACCTAGCTCTCAGCAAGTCCCGAAAAGAGGGGAATCTGGGGGTGTGAGGCTGGCTACTGGAACTTTACAACTAGAAGCCCAATGTTCCACTAAGAATGTAAAAAACTTATAAATAAGCAAATCGTATTTATTTATTCATTAAAATACAGTGATGCAACACACAAAACTGCACAGTTTGTGTGAGGGGTGGGGAATGACTGCTTGAACACCCAGATCGAAACAGGTGGTTGTCTCAAGGGGGCACCCACGGAGTCTTTGACTTAAGGTCTAATCCGCAAGGCAGTCGAACAACGTTAACAGTTACGTGCCCATATTTCCCGATAAGCAAAATTGGTTCATCCTAAATTTGATCCGTTCGAATTCCGGAACCGATGTGCAACGCCCCCCCCCACACCCAATAGGTTTGGAATCAGGGTTTCCCAGGTGAACCAGCATGTCCATCAGTTCAGTTGTCAGCGCCAGATATCCGCATTTATCTTTTAACTTTCATGAGGAACATTGCTGTCATGTGACCACATGAACGTATTTCGAGAGGAAGACAGAGGTCTAGTTTACCCACCCATGGGGTGGGTACCATGACTTTTATGGGGGCAAACCGTATACCGAAAGGTTAAATAAATAAAAATACTAGCTAAGATATTTACCAAAATACTTACTATTCTCTTTACACAGTACAAAGATGAATAAGGCAGCTGATTCACCAACAATTTGAACTGGATGCGTAAGTAATTTACAAAGGCTGAAAGATAATCAGTTAAAAAAACATTTGTTTTGTCAAATTCACTTGAGGGAATTTTATCAGTTTTAAACCAACTGTACACAAGTGTAACACTCATTTCAATTTCAATTCTTGAGAAGAATGAAATTGAAAATAAGCTAACCAAGTTGTTTAACAATGAACATTTAATTAACATACCTTTTGTAAATAATTAACAGGTGACCACTATATGTATTCATAATTGTATAAAAGAAGGCGAACAGAAAGGTCACTGGAATTATGAAATGCGAAAGCATGTTATATTTTAAAGGGGTCAGAGACAAAGAAATTTTGGTAGCCTGGAAATGCTTTCTTGGGATGGGGCGATTGATCTAATTTTTGCTGCAGTCGAAGTTGAATTTTCAACTATTTTAACTATCGACTCCCTTCCGTCAAAGAAAAATAATCTCGAATAGTCATACGATAATAACAGTAGCAGTAGTGTGGCATGTGCTACTGATAAGATTTGTCTGGATTCAACATAGAACTTCGCACCGAAGTCCAGCAGTTCGAGTTGCCACGTTCCAAATAGCACACAAAAGTAGACAAGAAGAGGAGTGAAGAGAATCAATAGAGTTTGACAAGTATAAGAGTGAAACAGAATGGGTAATGGTAGAAAGGAATATGAAAGATTACAGAGACTGAATACATCTGCGCTGGTCATTGACAACGATTTTGAGCCATGTCACCTATTGTCTCCAGTCATTGATTCCTAGAGTCCCAAAGGGCCCCAACCCAGAAGTCTGCATCTCCCTACCTGACTCAGTTTAACTGTCAAGGATGGATTGATGCCATGTTTTTGTTTAGCCACCACTTACTCTTTTCCAACCTGCACCTATATCAGCTAGTAATGGGCGTCGGGGGAGGCGAGGCGATGGTTAGGCATGCGCACCACGTGACTTAGCCATCTCAGTCTATGTAACTTTATAGTCTCGTCGATTGATTTTCCCTGTTTGCCCAACACTCTACGCCTAACGTCAACATTACTTACCTTATTAAACCACCTAACGTGAGAAAGAGATCGTAGACATCCATGATCAAAAACAGTCAACCTTTTCATGTCTTCAACTCGTATTGACCATGTTTCAGAGCCATAGAGAAGGATGGGGCGAACTGCTGAGCAGTACACACGTCCCTTGGTTGATAGCCGATAATCGGCATAAAAACATCAAATAGCGGAGGGAGAGAGAAATTCGACGTCAAACAGAGCAAATGATTCAGCGTTGCAGCAAAAACACGGGACACGAAAAGACAAAAGAAACACAATACGAAGGGTAGAAGTAGCACAAAACGGAAGAACTGTGCAAATGGTGATTTGCAGATAAGGTGTACATAATTTCGCTATATAGCGATACCGAATTCCAAATAAGCACTCCTTTGCAAAGTCTCCTGTCTCCTAACCGTTACAGTTGATAGTATTCCCGATAACAGTCTCTTAAAGCATTTGTTCACCTTCATCAAAGAGTAGTCTTTCTCATGTGTTGGTTTGCGAGGATTTTATCGATTTGAAGTTTGATCATGGAGTGATATCATTCGGAAAAGCATTGAAAACCAGGAAGTACCAGACAGCTATTTTGTTCTAGTTTGGAGCTCTCCAGCAGTACCTATCCATGACCCCACCGCGCCAGGGGTTGAAACCCAACCCACATTCAAGTTACAAGGTGATCTCATCGATCAATGAACCACTGAGATGGAATCCTATGGCCCATCAATTTTAATTACTGCCAAATAGTGGTTTATGTCGCGACCGAAAGCTAATGTTATCCGAGCGTATTTTGTCCTTACATCCAAGTTGGTGGAGTCACTAGTGAGGATTTCTCGCTAGAATTGCAGGCAAATCAGTGACTAGTGGGGGCTAGATTGTCACGGTTTTAGGTTACTTGGTGCTAGAGTCCTAAATAAGGACGAAACATTCAACCAATGCTTCTTAGTTTCAATGGTTTCTAAATGAAGTCAGACAAGGGTGCTGTATGACAGCGGCACATGTCAAGTGATCCACAACGGAAAACTCAGCGAGGCGTTTGGGGTAAACACAGGAGTCAGATAAGGGTGCTTATTATCACCAATGATATTCCTAATTGTTGTGGACTGGGTTATGCATCAGACAGTGGGAAACGAGAAGACAGGGATGTCCTGGACCGACGTGAAGAGCCTAGAAGACCTGGATTTCGCAGATGATTTATGTTTGATGTCATACAGAATCGAAGACTTACAAGCGAAAACCGACAAACTGGTCGAAGAAGCAGCCGGCGAAGACACGACTCCAGGTGAACATAGGTGAACAAGACGGAAGTTATGAAAATAACCAGCCAACAACAACAACAACATCCAGCCCCAATCATCATCAATGGGAGGGGTTTGAAAGAGGTTACTTCATTCACTTATCTGGCATTGAGCATTGTCTCAACTACAGGAAGTCGGAACGGACGAGGATGTCGAGTCGAGCGAGAATCGGGAAGGCGAGAAACACAATCATCAACCTAAAACCAATCTGGAAATCTTCATCACTCAGCATCAACAACAAAATTCGGTCGGATTTTCAATACAAACGTCAAGTCAGTTCTTCTATACGGATCAGAAGCTTCGCGGGTGGGTCACAAAGAATATTTCCAACAGCCTGTGGCAGACCTTTATCAACAACTGTCTTTGCTATATACTGAAGATCAGATGGCCGGGCCGGAAAGAATCACCAACAAGAAACTATGGCTGGGAACAAACAAACAAAACAAGAACCAATCGCCGATCAACAAATATGCAGGAGAAAGTGGAGATGGATTGGACACTCACTCGCTGAGGAGGAGGCTGGGTGATATCGCGCGCGCGTCAGGCCATTGCTCTAGTGGAACCCGAAAGGGAAGAAAGCGGTGAGTGGGACGTCAGTGCAAGGGTGACATGGAGGAGATTGTGTGAAGAGGAGTTGAAACAGTATGGACTGACATGAATGCAGGTGAAAAGTACAGCAGAAGGAAGACAGAAGCAAGGTGAGACGTGCAGTTGAAGCCCTATGTTCGCCTAGGAATACAAGGGAACAATAATAATAATAAATGAAGTCGGTTCATCACTATACTTGAAATGTCACCAATTTTCTGAGTTTTACCTATTCAAATTAATATAATTTGTTCAAAAATGGTTTGTCATCTTCTAACACCTGAGAATTGAACGTGAAAATCGTACACAATACTTCTTCCGTTTAAGACTAATGGATATATATATATATATATATATCATTTTAAAACTTACTGGTTCCTGATACTATCACCATCTTCAGGCAAACGTGTTACATCTTTCCCCAGGTAAGGTAGTACCTAAAAGAAAGCATTAAATTTGTAGTTATATTTAAGCTAACAGATTTTTTTTTCAAAACACTTTGCGGAAATTATTGCCAGTCAGTATATTATTATCCCTTCCTTGCTTTTCAAGTAGAACATGGGATCTCAGTAGTAAGCCTTCATTTCACTTGGTTCTTTGCCATCATTTTCGACTGGCTCCACGACGAGCCACAAGCTTTCATTTCCTCCCTGCATGATTTTCTCCATATTACTCTGTGATCCCATTCGGGTTCCGACTAGATAGCCTAGTGTATGTATATCCACCCTAAGTTATGTTATAGAGTTTGCTTTTCTTTTCAATGCAAACTACTAATATTTGCAAAAGATAAGCTGAAAACAATTCATGTTATGATGGTGAGTAGATCACTCATTTTTCTTCAGCAATATCGCTGAATACGTCTTCTCTCATATGAATTAATGGGTATTTTTAAGTTGCTTAAACTTGGTAGGGACCCAGTGATAGCGAAGGAGCTCATCAGTTTTTTGCTTTATTCCGATAGCTTGGAGTAGCCAAGGCAAAGATACTCTTTTTTGAGAAACAGAGGGAGGGACAGACAGACAGAATGTTTAGATCGACACGAATATCCAAAAATGCACAAGAATTCACTCAGATACAACCACATTCAGCTGAATACCAGAGTACTCAAGCAACACACACTAAACCACATCGACTATATTAAATCACATGTTCTCAAACTAGAACAAAATATTTACTCACCAGTTCATGCAGTCTGATTTAAATCCAGTTAATCTGTTGAAGAATATGTCAAAAGAATTACGCAGAAGCCATTTGATAAGATCATGTCAGATCTACCTTAAGACCCTAAAGGTGAATAATAACAGTGAACCTTGATTCCTAAGCAATCCAGAAAAATATGTATTCAACTAGAGGCGCTAGCACTAGGCTCAAAATTCTTCATAAAATCACCAAATATCCTCAGGTTTCCATCTCAAGTTCATTTTGAGAACCTGATATATCAAACATATAATCTAGTAACAACATATGAAGAGTACCTATAACAATTTAAATCAGTCGTCGTTTTTTTACCACTGTCACGAGCTTATAAATGCCAAATCAAACAGTCAGTTAATATCGGCCAAGAAACATTACAAATAGCTTAAAGAATTGATGAACAGTGAAGAGATAATGCTGATATTGTATAAATAAAATGCAATATAGCTGGAAAGAGTGGCTCTTCGCTAAACGCCCCTCCCCCCCCCCTTTATTATAATGACTTAATGGAGACTTTTAAGCTACTTAAACACTCATTTTTAGTTTCAGTTTCGTCTGTTTAGAGGACTTGCCCAATGATGAAATACCTCTAAATGTTCAAGCTTTTTTTCCGCAATAAAATTTACAAGCAAAACGTTCAAATTACATAAGTTTTATGCCATGTGAGAGTTGATGATACGATCTAGTAGTCTGACTAAAGCAGGTGAAGCACGAGTCAAAAAAGTGACAGGAGTGACTGTTTGGCGATGACTTCAATAGACAGGGAAGTGATTAAACCACTAAGAAACAAATCTGACTTACGATATTGAAAAGTGAAGACTACCACTGATTTGTTCATATGTCATGTCAAGTACGAAATAATGTTGAGTAAGCAATTATTGAGGACAAAATTTGAAATCATGTAAATTAATGAGTGTGAGCCAGAGAAGAAAAAAATGAATTTCAGGATAAAAACTACTTATCTACTAGTCGTTTTACAGTAGTATGTATAAAATGTTTTAAACTTTAACTCACTTTTAAACGACAAAATTTCCTAATCTGATGATTTGATTTACACGCTCGTGTAAGACAATTCAAAATGGGGCATATTCTTTCATCAGTTCGTAGATCGTCAGTAGCTTCAGAAACTTTGTTAGCATCCTAAGAAGGCATTAAAAGAAGAAGAATTGTTTTCGCCTCCTTTATAACCAAATAAACGACTTTACATATTGTACACAAAAATTAAATACTTCATGAATATACAGATATGGCTTATTGGCTCAAGCACTTATTTTTTTCAGCCGATGAATCATGGATTCGAGTCGCTTCCCACCTACTTCAAACGGACGACAACTGGGTAGTATCATCAGCCTTCATATAATAAGTATACCCTTTAACTTAGTACATGGAAAATCCGTTCTGGTTAAATAAGCTTAAACATACACCCTGTTAGTAAGGATGACTGTCTGTCTGTCTTTGACAGAGAACTTTGCACATATGTGCGGAAGTTCAAGTCGCCACACTCCGTTTAGCACACAAAAAAGAGAAGAAAGTAGAAGAAATGCATATTAGAGACAGTAAACCAGAGGTGTGAGACAAAGGAAGAGTAATAACGAAGAACAATGTAGTTTCATTAGAAATCATAGGTTACAAGAAGTGGATGCATTTGCGCCATTGAGAACGATTTTGAGCCATGTCACCAATTGTTTCCAACCATTGGTTGTTACCGTCCCGAGGACCCCAACCAGGAAGCCAGTCTATACCTCCCTACGTGGCTTAGACTAACTGTTGTAGATTTCATTGACTAGTACCATGTTTTGGTTTGACCGCCGCTAGCTCTTTTCCAGCCTGACCCGATATCAGTGAACATTGCCCGTCGAGGGAAGCGATGACTTGGCATACGTAACACATGTCCTAACCATCTCAGTCTTTGTAACTTCACAACTTCGTCGATTGATTTCCCCTGTTTACCTAGAACTCGACCAGTGCCTAACCTCAATATTGCTCACCTTATTATGCCACTTCACATGGGAGATAGAATGAGGACACCTATAATCAAAGACAGCTGATCTTTTCATGCCTTCCACTCTCAGTGGCCAGGTCTTGCTCACAACCATAAAGGAGGACGGAGCGGACTGATGAGCAGTACACCCGTCCTTTGGTCGATAATCGAACATCTCATCTACACCAGAGTCGGCGCAAACTGGAAAATGCGAAACGAGCCCCTTGTATTCGTGCTGAGATTTCGTCAGAGATCAACCCGTTGGGGCTGATGGCACTTCTCAAGTAAGTGAAGCGGTCAACGTGCTCTACCACTTCACTCCCTATTTCTCAGCTGAGTCAGTGTAGTCCAGTCCTGTAACATCATCTTACATTTGGCGGGAGCGAACCGCATGCCAAACATTCGGAAATTGCAGCTCAAGGTGTTCAGGAGGCTGCATTTTGTCAGCGTCTTCGCCTAGAAGGACTATATCGTCTGCATATTATAAGTCAACGAGATTATTCCCCGGTAGCAAGTCAATTCCTGAGTCCCCGACCGAAAGCTGCTACCTTGACGTGGTGGTCGGGCTTGAACACCGCAATGACCTAATCAAGCTATACTGGCTGAGACTTATGTCTCTTAAGGTTCTACCATGCCAGGCAGGTTGTTTGGATAGCGGTTAAACAAAAAGCAGCTACCTCATCCAATACCATGATCCAAACAAATTCACAAAATTTCATGCCGGATCGGCCGTGGTCCGGATTAACAACGACCGCGCTTCCTGCTGCCGTGTCACAGGGCAGGAGTGATAAGTATGCTACTGAGGCACACCAAACAAAAGAGAACAAACAAAAACAGGCCGCGTGTGACCGGCCTCAAGCAGTTGTCCCCTGGGTTCTGCGGTCACGCAACCAACTTCCACGGTGTGGGCAGCCGGGAAGTAACAATCGCCCTCACAATCCGAAATGCACACGAAACCTCTCTAATCCTCACTTATCTTTGTCTTCATCTTCATCTCTATTACCCTGCCTTCCTCCCACTGATGCAACTCCTCTACTTGATGGCTCCTCACTCCCTCTTCACTGTGTCCACTAAAAACGGTGGAAGCCAAAAAACCACCACCGATAGTCTCCTAAAGCCACGCCACCAATTTCATATAGGAGCTCTTAATGTTAGGACACTTTACCAAATAGGACAACAAGCATCACTAGCCAAGACCCTGGCATCACGAGCCATTGATGTATGTTGTGTTTCAGAAACACGCATACAAGACCCAAGTGTGGTTATTCACCTAACCCCACCTGGCCAACAGGTTGAGTCTTCAAAATTCACCTTGAGGGTGTCAGGAGATGCCACAGCTAGTTCACGAGGATTAGCTGGCGTAGGGATAGCTTTGAGTACTAGGGCAGAAAAGACACTGCTTGACTGAATCCCGGTAGATAGCCGAATGTGTGCTGTCCGCCTAAACGGATCAGCAAAAAGGAGGAAGGACTGTACTACTCGCCGATGCCTTTTCGTAATCTCCGCCTACGCCCCCACTGACTGCAGTTCAGATGAAACGAAGGATGAGTTGTACCAAAAGCTGTCTAGTTTGGTGCGAAGGGCTAAACGCTCAGACATAGTCGTTCTAGCTGGTGACTTTAACGCTCAAGTAGGGAAATTGTGTCAATCTGAGAAGGATGTCGGTGGCACTTATGGAGTTCCGTGCCAGCGAACCGACAACGATGACCGTATCCTACAGTTCTGCTCTGATAATCATTTGTTTCTTGTAAGCACTAACTTTAAACACAAGGAGAGACACTGTTTGACTTGGAGACCCCCTTCATCAAACCAACGCTGGACACAAATAGACCACATAGCAATAAGCTATCGTTGGCGTGGGTCGGTAGGAGAATGTCGCTCCTTCTGGAACACGTGTGTAGATACCGACCATGCACTAGTCTGCGCTCGGGTGTGCTTACGACTGAACGGACGTAGGAAACAGCTGGCGGTAAAACCACCACGTCCCCAGCTCGATCAGGAAACTAAATCCGTTCTCAGTGGCGCAGATGCATCCACTCCCTGTGACTTATGATCTTCAATGAAACTGTTTTGTATTTCTTTATTACTCCTTTGGCTCACACCTCTGCTCACTGTCTCTATTATGCTTTTCTTGTACTTTCTTCTCTTGCTTCGCGTGCTACACGGAATGTGGCGACTTGAACTTCCCCACATTTGTGCAAAGTTCTATGTCGGAAACAGACAGACAGAGACAGACAATTCCTGAGTCACTGAAGTCACTTGGGGTTAATTCCATTAGTACATCTATGATGAAGTTGAATATAAATGGGGATAATGGGCATCCTTGACGGACACCACTAGTCGTCACCAGTTCAGATGACAACTCGCCGTAAGCCCTCACCTGGCTGATGGCATGAGTACGAGTAGAATGACTTAATCAGTGCAATGTATTTTCTCGCCATTCCCTTTACAGCCAAGCATCGCCAGAGAACCTCTCGGTCGACAGAATCGAATTCCGCCTTTAGGTTAAGAAATATAATGACTGCTGGACGCCGGTAGGAATGCCTATGTTCTAGAATCTGTCGGAGTGTGAAGATATGATCAATACACCCTCTTCTTGGTCTAAAGCCTTCCTGGCTCTCTCGTGTTTGTGCCTCCCGAGCACCACTTAGTTTACGTCTGTGGTGCTCGGGAGGATAACTGCTAGTAGCGTGCAGTCAGACAAGGATGAAAATCTAAAAACAAATTAGACATACCATCTAGTTAAGATCAAATGAGTGATAAATAAAATCACTACGGAAACGCATTAGCAACAACACTATGTTAATTTGCAAAGCTTTCATCACCCAGTAGGATGATGGCGTAGCTTCACAACTTCATAATTTGACTTCTCACCCAGCACTACGCCGAACTTCAATAAGCTGCTGACCTACATGACTTTAGTTTTTCTTTTAGGGAGGAGTTTGTTGTATAATTCGCTTACTGCATTTAAGTAAAGATGAACCTGAGTTACTGAATTTTCGACATGGAACTTTGCACAACAGTGAAGCAGTTCTAGTTCCTAAATTTCATAGAAGTAGAGTGGAAAAAAACTATAATATGAGAAAGGAAGAAAAACTATGAGAATTTAATGCATCTATGCGTCGGTGGTTGTGACAGAAAGCTCGCCAACGATACATATGGTTCAGTTCGACTTCCTCCTGAGGCAATCCTAAATCTCACTTAGTCAGTAGTAAAAGCGTGATAAAGACAGAAGGTTGGCTGTGAGGCTATCCACTCCACCCCGTACAAAAACAGCGCTACCCAAACTTTAAAACTCAATCGTGAAGCCTTATATTCTATTTAGAACACAAAGGATTAAAAAAATAAATCTGGTTGATAAAAAACAGTGAGTGTATCTGACTCACTGAATGACTGTCTTTAGCAAGATCTGCATAAATTTAAAGTAGATAATCTACAATGAGACATAAGTCGAAAGGTAAAAATGTGTCCCAGTCATTTCTTTTCATTCCGAGTGGAACATAGGGCACCGTCAAGCGCTTAGTCTTTGAAGTTTCATTAGCGGTGATATTGTTTTTACGGAGTGGGAACGCTAGCCGCACGTCCAACCTCCCCTCTTTTCACGGTTTACTATCAGCTATTAAACTAACTACGCGAGGTTTTGGAATACGTTGGCAGTCGAGAATCAATCTCAGACCACTTGCATGGTTGGAAAGGATCCTACCAGTGAACCAAAGACGATTAATTTGTTCATAAAGTAATTAAAAGTAATAAACATACGTAAACTAAATACCAGGAAGATTTATGTGCGGCTAATGAATTACATATTCTTTGAACAGCAGACTATTGGTAAGATGAAAAACTGACCGAAGACTTTATTATTTACAACTCTGAATACATAAACGGGTGTACATATTTAATTGAATTAATTGATAATGTCTGTCTGTCTGGATTCAACATAGAACTTGGCACCGAAGTGCAGCAGTTCGAGTTGCCACGTTCCAAATAGCACACAGAGGTAGACAAGAAGATGAGTGAAGAGAATTAATAGAGTTTGACAAATATAAGAGTGAAACAGAATGGGTAATGGTAGAAAGGAATATGAAAGATTACAGAGATTGAATACATCTGCGCCATTGACAACGATTTTGAGCCATGTCACCTATTGTCTCCAGCCATTGATTCCTAGAGTCCCGAGGGCCCCAACCCGGGAGTCTGCATCTCCCTACCTGACTCAGTTTAACTGTCAAGGATTTCATGGATTGATGCCATGTTTTTGTTTGGCCACCACTGGCTCTTTTCCAACCTGAACCTATATCAGCTAGTAATGCCCGTCGGGGGAGGCGGTGGTTAGGCATGCGCACCACGTGACCTAGCCATCTTAGTCTATGTAACTTTATAACCTCGTCGATTGATTTTCCCTCTTTGCCCAACACTCTACGCCTAACGTCAACATTACTTATCTTGTGAAACCACCTAACGTGAGACAGAGATCGCAGACATCTATGATCGAAAGCAGTCAACCTTTTCATGTCTTCAACGCGTATTGGCCATGTTTCAGAGCCATAGAGAAGGACGGAGCGAACTGATGAGCAGTACACACGTCCCTTGGTTGATAACCGGATGTCACGCCTACGCCAGAGATGGTGTAAGTCAGCGAAAGCAGCTCGAGCTTTTCGGATCCGTGCTGAGATTTCATCGCCAATCAGTCCGTTGGTGCTAATACAACTTCCCAAGTAGGTGAAGTGGTCAACATGTTCTATCACTTCACTCCCTATCACTAAGTTAGGGGTTGACGTGTCCAGTCCTGTAGCAGCATCTTACATTTTGCAGGGGCGAATCGCATGCCAAACATACGAAGATTGCTGCTCAAGGTGTTCAGAAGACTCTGCATTTTGTCAGCATCCTCCCCTAACAGGACTATGTCATCTGCATATTCTAAGTCCATTAGATTATTCCCTGGTAACAAGTCGATTCCTAAGTCACTACGTTCAGTTAAGGATACTTCCATTAGCATATCTATGATGAAGTTAAACAGAAATGGGGAAAGTGGACATCCCTGTCGGACACCACTGGTTGTTACCAATTCAGATGACAATTCCCCATAAGCCCTTACACGACTACGTGAGTTTGAATAGAGTGCCTTGATTAGTGCAATGTACTTTCTTGGCACTCCCTTCACAGTCAGACATTGCCATAGTACTTTTCGGTCCACGGAGTCGAAGGCCGCCTTCAAGTCAAGAAATATGACAATTGTTGGACGCCGAAAAGTGTGTCTATGTTCTAGAATCTGTCGAAGAGTGAAGATATGATCTATGCACCCTCTACCTGGTCTAAAGCCTGCTTGATTTTCCCTTGTCTGTTCCTCCCGAGTTCTGCTTAGTCTATGCATGATTACTGAGCCTAGGATTTTAGAGACTATGTTCGTTAGGCTGATCCCCCTATGATTATCACACGAGGACTTGTTTCCCTTCTTGAATATCGGTATAATGAGTGACTTACCCCAGTCTGATGGTACTGTCTCTGATTCCCAGACTTTGCCTAGTACCTCAGTTAATCTACAAACTAGTATGTCACCCCCATATTTAAACACCTCCGGAATAATTCCGTCGGGTCCTGCCGCTTTGCCTCGTTTCAAATTACTGATAGCTTTTGTAACCTCACCTACAGACGGCGGACCAGTGTCTATATCCCATTCGGGTACGTGGTGGATGGCGGGGAGGTTCAGTGTGGCTGTAGGCAAGTTAAATTGTTCCTCAAAGTGTTCTTTCCAGCGTTCAAGGCGTCTATCCTGAGAGCTAATTAAGGAGCCATTTTTCTCAGAAATAGTCTCACTTATGAATTGCCTTTTCCCGCCCGATTCTGTGATGAGTCTAAAGAGTTGCCTAGTGTTGCCTATCGCCAATGCTTTTTCCATCTCTTTCGCCTTTGTCACCCACCACTGTTCACGGTCTTTGCGGAGACTTTTAGTAAGTTTCCTTTTGTGCAGCTTTCGCTCCTCATTGAATTCGGAGCTCGCCGGAATAAGTCTTCTAGCATCTATCAGTTCGGATGAGGCAGTCGAAATCCAGTGGTTTTTACTCACCTTTGGATTTGTCTTATTCACAGCTTTTACAGCTGTATCTATAGCTGACTGAATATTCTTCCAGGCTTCTCCAGGGTGAGCACAGCTGTCGATTCAGATATGCGTTTAGCTAGTTCTTCCTCAAATAGGGATTTAGTTTCCTGATCGAGCTGGGGGCGTAATGGTTTTACCGCCAGCTGTTTCCTACGTCCGTTCAGTCGTAAGCACACACGAGCCCGGACCAGTGCGTGATCGGTATCTACACACGTGTTCCAGAAGGAGCGACAATCTCCTACCGACCCACGCCAACGATAGCTTATTGCTATGTGGTCTATTTGTGTCCAGCGTTGGTTTGATGATGGGGGTCGCCAGGTTAAACAGTGTCTCTCCTTGTGTTTAAAGTTAGTGCTTACAAGAAACAAATGATTATCTGAACAGAACTGTAGGAGACGGTCACCGTTGTCGGTTCGCTGGCACGGAACTCCATAGGTGCCACCGACATCCTTCTCAGATTGACACAATTTCCCTACTTGAGCGTTGAAGTCACCAGCTAGAACGACTATATCTGAGCGTTTAGCCTTTCTCACCAAACTAGACAGCTTTTGGTAGAACTCATCCTTCGTTTCATCCGAACTGCAGTCAGTGGGGGCGTAGGCGGAGATTACGAAAAGGCATCGGCGAGTAGTGCAGTCCTTTCTCCTTCTTACTGATCCGTTCAGACGGACAGCACACATTCGGCTATCTACCGGGATCCAGTCAAGCAATGTCTTTTCTGCCCTAGTACTCAGAGCTATCCCTACGCCAGCTAATCCCCGTGAACTAGCTGTGGCATCTCCTGACACCCTCAAGGTGAATTTTGAAGATTCATCCTGTTGGCCAGGTGGGGTTAGGTGAATAACCACACTTGGGTCTTGTATGCGTGTTTCTGAAACACAACATACATCAATGGCTCGAGATGCCAGGGTCTTAGCTAGTGATGCTTGTTGTCCTATTTGGCAAAGTGTCCTAACATTAAATGCTCCTATATGAAATTGGTGGCGTGGCTTTAGGAGACTATCCGTGGTGGTTTTTTGGCTTTCGTCGTTTTTAGTGGACACAGAGTGAAGAGGGAGTGAGGAGCCATCAAGTAGAGGAGTTGCATCAGTGGAGGAAGGCAAGGTAATAGAGATGAAGATGAAGACAAAGATAAGTGAGGATTAGAGAGGTTTTGTGTGCATTTCGGATTGTGAGGGCGTTTGTTACTTCCCGGCTGCCCACACCGTGGAAGTTGGTTGCGTGACCGCAGAGCCCAGGGGACAACTGCTTGTGGCCGGTCACACGCGGCCTGTTTTTGTTCGTTCTTCTTGTTTTGTGTGCCTCAGTAGCATACTTATCACTCCCGCCCTGTGACACGGCAGCAGGAAGCGCGGTCGTTGTTAATCCGGGCCACGGCCGATCCGGCATGAAATTTTGTGAATTTGTTTGGATCATGGTATTGGATGAGGTAGCTGCTTTTTGTTTAACCGCTATCCAAACAACCTGCCTGGCATGGTAGAACCTCAAGAGACATAAGTCTCAGCCAGTATAGCTTGATTAGGTCATTGCGGTGTTCAAGCCCGACCACCACGTCAAGGTAGCAGCTTTTGGTCGGGAATTGATATCAATATCATAATTGATAATAAATAGAAAGATAAAGTTAGCACATTAACCCAATTTTTACAGACAAATAAAGAGATTTAAATCAAATAGTCTAGATTTATATAAAATCTTATACTCAGTTCAAGCATAAATGAGTACGCCAAGTGATAAGCTGTTAACGAGAAACAAATATAAAATATCTTCAAAAAAAAATGAACTCACCAGTTTAAGCTGACAATGAAGAAAGTTTACAAGAATTTCAATGCAATCCATCTCATTTGTTTCACTAACTGGAAGTGAATGTTCTGAAGACTTGTCATTACAATGTTCAGCAGCAACCTTATCGCACAGAAGATATTTATAAGAAGCTTTTGGTATAATATTTAACACGTTGACAATTTGACTGAAAGGGTGAAAAATCACACAGAACAATAAAAACTAATCACATACAATTGTTAATAACTAATTAAAATGGTAAAACTAACTGAGTGAGTTTTAACATAGAATTTTTCACAGAAGTGCAGCAGTTCAAGTAGCCACACTCTACACAGTATACAAAAGTAGGGAAAAAGAAAACAGAGATTTTGTAGAAATTTAATGAACAGAAACGTGAACGATAAGGAACAACAGCACGAAAACACGATTTAATGGATCTAGGAGATTACGAAGACTGAATGCATCTGTGCCATACAGAACGGTTTTAAGTTATATCACTAGTAGTCTCCAGCTACCAGTTTTAAAAGTCTCTATAACCCTAGGCACGCAGTCTGCACTATCGAAGACTTCATTTACCGATGTCAGGTTTTGGTTTGACCACCCCTCAGAGTTTTTCAATCCAACTCTATTTGACAACTGGATTCCCTCCAAATCTGACCCATACAACAGTAATAATCGTCGCATTTATGAACGAACAGAATGAAAGGTAAATTAATTTACATATCAATGAAAAGTTCTTTGAACCTGGAAAATTCCAAAGTGAAGATAAATGAAGATATATCTGTGCCGTTGTAATCTAGAGAAACAGTCAGTACTATTATTTCTTAGCTAATGTCGAACATAATATGTTTATTTATCTCACAAACAGAAAGATTCGAAACAAATTGAGTCACAAGCTAATTAGAACCATAAAAGTATTATTAAAATCACGATTAGAACCATTTGTCACACTAAAAACAATGGCATCAGTTATCCAACACGTGAATACAAATGCACATTTTAAAGTGTAGTGACTTACCTGATTAACATATGATTGTCGAAATTATCCTTCTCTGAATCTTTTAAAAGGTGTTTGAGTATGATGACAAGATTTTGGATATCATCACCTAACTAGGAGGTATAAAGTAAGTACATATTTCGAGACCTTTGTCATATCGCTGTCATCCCTCACTGAATACAGTATATTGTAAACTGTCTTAAGAGCTTCTGCAACAACAAGTGAATCTGAAATGTCCGACCTCTTCATTTGTAGGACTTTTAAAAGTAGTTGTAAAGCTTCAAAGTCGATTAGCTCCTGTCTAGAATTACTATGAGATTATTAGTGTTTGAATTACCTTGAAGAGTGATCTAAAGCGGTGACCAGGAAAGCGAGCTTCAAACATAGAAGAAGTTGTTCTTTTTCCGAACACTGCTCAAGAACTTTCAAACCTTCAACTATGTTCTTTACAACACCCAATTCCCTGAAGTGTAACAACAGATTAAGACAACCAACTTTAGTCGACTAATAACATATGTTTCCTTGAATATAATGTTAGACAGTGACTTTAGTGCCTCTATGTTTATCCGACAACACTGTGAACCAGCTCCATAAGGAAAAGCATACTTGAGGAGTTGAGATAAAAAGAAATCAGATGTCAACTCCTTACGGGAGATTTCATCGCGTGTCAGTATCCGGATACAGGAAAGACAAATATATAAGTCAGAGGAGCTATCACTTTCTAAAACTCTACGACATCGTTCCAAAATTATCTGAAATCATCGGTAAAATGACAGTCATTTACCTCTTTCGTCTTCATTTCTACATTTCCAAGCGAAAAACTGGAGTCGTTCTTCAAAAGGAAAAGTAAAGCATCCACAAACAGTCCTACCTCTGAAACAAACTTCTCCAAAACTGTATCGTCAACACACATTTTGAAATCTCGCGCAACTATCAGCTGATAAGTGTCCCAATCAAATAGTGCTCGTTTTATTTAGTGGTGTACGTGATGTAAAAATTATTCGAGTTCATCTTTGTCACAGAAGCAGAGAACAGAAGTTTCGGCGAATTTAAAGCCGGTGACGGTGAAAATAGCTCTTTATTGGAGAAATACACACTGACTCTCTCACTGATGCTAAAATCAGATATAACAATGAAGACTAGTCAGAAAGCCAATCTTCCTCTATATATACAGGCTTCAGTGGTCCGGAACAGGTTAAGGCGGGTTTGTAGTCGGATTTGGCTGTTTTATGAATGCGTCGTTCACTCACCGCCGACATTAACTATCTAAGTCGACTGGTGCAGCTGAAGATAAGCTGTCAAGCAGCACTCTCCATCTGACAGATTACCGTGTTACGTTTGGGTGTTGTTTACCCACTCTATTGCACAAGTTTTATTCTTATATCAGAGAATTGATCAGTTTTCACAGACCAAAAAGAACTCCTACCCCCTCAACTCAGTATCAGAGAGATATGAACTCGGAGAATCACGGAATCTGGACAGCATTTCACAGCATGCCTCAGGTATCAGACATAAGTCTGGGGCGGGTGACAGTGTCGCAGACATTTTATCGTCCATCTTTTTCACCCATATTAACGGCACGAACTTTGTGAAGCCGGCCCATATTCGAGAGGAAGGTAGGGAGTTTCAACTCACCTGGGCCACGACTAATGCCATCACTAGTCTATTTGACTAGTGTAGTATACACAGAATGGGAGGCACCGGAATCTCCCGTTCGTAGCTTACTGAAGGTAACAAGTGCTGTTGTTTAATTATTGTCCCGGGTTCTAAATGGAATGAGGGGCTTCAGATGTGCATTTTCATTTCACTCTTTTTACCGCAATCCTCTTTGGCTGCTCCAGGATTGCCCGTAAGCTTTCATTTCATCAAATGATCTCCTCCATTTCATCCTCGGACTGCCAACTTGCCATTTTCCGTATAGGTTCACTTCGAGCGATCGCCTTAAGTGTGACGTCACTCAGTAGTCGCCTCAGAGTGTATCCAGTCTATCTCTATTTTCTTCGAAATATATACTAGACAACAGATTCTTGGCTGCTTCGTTCCCAGAGTTCAGTGTTGCTAGTTTTTTCTGTCCACTTGACATCAACTGTGAACCGAAGGCGGCTGGCGATGAAGATCTTCAGGTGGCTGTTGGGAAGGCTTTCCGTGACGTGCAAAGTCCCTAAACCATAAAGTGGAAATGAATGACATCACTTTGGTTTTGAAAGTCCGGATTCGTTTCACTATGCACACTGCAGATTTCTTAACTGATTTTAGAGGGACGAATGTCCATTTGGCACTTCTCATCCACTTCTTGTCATCCTCATCTGTGCTTTCAGTAAGCGAAACGACGCTTCCCAAGTGGGTGAAGGAATTGACCTCTCTCAAATTTCTCTCACTAGTAGCTGCTTGTTACTTTTGCCATCCTCGCACTTGTATTTGACTATCCTATTCACTTCTGTTTATTTTATGTTCGGATAGCGTTATTAGAAGACGGAGATTATCTCAAAAATGTGGTGTATTTGCGCTAGACATTTCGAACAGTCGGATCACACATTTACTTGCCCAGTCGATATATATGAAAAAGTTAAATTAAACAAAGTGACAAAAATAGATTTAAGAGTGATTAACACAACGTGTGGTAATCCAATCAAATAAGGATTACCGAGGTGGGTCAAGAGTAATAATAAACTGTTTTTGAATACATAGGGGGGCTTTAATTATGAATATATATAGCCTCAGCATATTCCAATAAGCGCCCTTGACCGTTTTTATGTATGAACTTAAAGGTTGAGCTAACATCAGTCTTATGGTTCATCTCGATTAGATGTTTAGCTATAGACGAAGTTGGTAGTCTGACACCTGCATCTATTGGTTTTCCAAAATTCATTTGTTTTTCTAACGCTATCCAAATTATTAAAAGGGACTAATTGTTTTAAATTTTTTATGTTCACTTGAATTTAATAGCTTCCCTGGTCTTCTTGCTGGTCCAGTGTATTCCTGTCTTCTTGCCCCACGATCTGGAGGACAATGCAGTCCACCACAACTAGGAATATCATCGGTGTTAGTGGACATCATTCACTGCATTCACTCCAAAGGCTTCGCTGGGTTTGCGGTTGTGAATCATCCGACACGTGCTATTGTCATATAGCTGTTGAATGAGGTGAATAAGGACTTAAACACGCCATAGCGTTGGAGTAGTTTCTAGATTATTTCTCGGTCAACGCTGTCTGTCGAAGGCCTCTTCGAAATTGATGAAGCTGAAGTAGAGGTTTTTTGCAATTATATGCCTTGTTTGATGATGATGCTTAAAGTTTAGTCCAATGAGCACATAATTTTTCTTTGCTCACTCCATTGTTCCATTGAGAGGAGTCAATGTGGTTGAAGATTGAAAGATCAATTCATGGTTGTTTGCTCAAACCCAAACTCTATATTTTTCGTGGGAGTCATCAATCGGGCAGTCACCGTTTCATCGTTAGCTGTTTGTCGGAAGACAGAAAACTACCAAAAGTATTATCGTGATTTCTTTTTATAACATTTACTCTTAGACCTTGTGTATAATTACCTTATTCTTGGTTACATACTGGCGTAAGAATAAAGGATTCTCGAGTCGCCGATCTGTGTCCTGGTTTTTTGCGTTGGTTGCTACACATTGTTTCTGGAAATCTTTCAGGGACAGCGTGAGGTCCAGCATAGCAAGAGGCGGACAATGATAGTTTCTGAGAGTCGGCTGACAAGAGGATTTATGCATACAGTGCATCTTTCGTCTTCTCTAGAATGATATGGCTTGGTGTTCTACTTGGCATGGACAAGAGAATTATTCCGCACCGACTCCTTCGGAGGCCTCTGCCATTTTCCCATGATACTTTGAAATGCTGGTCTTTTCTTAAGCCAGAAAGTGCCATTCTGTCCTTCCAAAACTTTTTGTGGCGGTGGGACCGACATATTCATTACGACATTTGGGTACATTTTTATTGCTTCAGAAGTAATGTCACCTGGTCCTGGTGCCTTCCTAACTGACTTTCAGCGGCTGGATTGCGTTTAAGACCTCTGCCTTTTGGGAAGATTGTTGTACACTGACAGTTCTATAGGTACTGCTGGTGACGGCATTTTTGGACTGGTTGCATGTAATGGTCGGTAAATGGGTACACTGAAGTAATCAGATCGCCGTTTTCTTCGTCACCTCTCCTTTTTAATTAGGTTCTCTATGCAATCTTTCACAGGTTTCATTTGCATCGCTCTTTTCCCGGATAGAGATTGGGCTATGTGGCTTAAGTTCTGTGACCTCTTTCGTCCGTGACCTGTCCTGCTTCAGTTGCCAGTGTCATATAATTGTTTTCTAGGTATCGCAGCACTCTTCCTCACCTCTTTGTTGAATGTGGATTACACTAATTTCAGCTTCTCCTCAGCATTGTGTCATCTCTTTTACCATCTTCCTCTATTCTGTAAGCTTCTAAATTTTAGTTGGGAGCCATTCTTTGTCTTGCCTCTTCTTTCTCCTAAAAACGGGGGTGCACATTGCACCGAATATCATCTTCAGAGTGCCCCCGTGGTCTTTCATGCAGATGCCCTCAGTGGTACCATGAAGTGTCTCCCCCTTTGCTCTGATGTTTTGGGCGAAAGCATCCCCTGTAGTTTACTCCTTTAGTTTCTGGATGTCGAACTTGGATTGTGGCATGTCTCTGATTGTTTTGAGAAATTTCAGCTTCACGTTGAAGGTTCCTTGAACTAGATGATGGCCTGAGCCCACATCTGCTCCTCTTCTCGACTCTGTATCCAGCAGGTTGCGTCTGCACATCCTTGAGACTGGGATGAAATCTATCCCGTTTGTAGCATATCCGTCACACAAAATACGTGTCGCTTTGTGTATATCCTTGTGTTTGTACACGCTCCCTCAAATCACTAGATCAGTGAGAGCGCGAGGTCTGAGGAGAATTATTCGTTCCCATTCATTTCCTCGAGTGAGTGCTTCTCGACCCAGGATGAGTTCTCTTCCTGTATTATCCTACACGGGTAGGAACAAATATGCATTTTATTAAACATTATTATTAAGTATGATTGATAATCGTATATGTAATTTATCATATTGATGATGCCTGTAAACTGGCGTTTCTCATGTACAAAATGAAAATATATTATTTATTTATCTGCTCCCAGCCGGCGCCATTTCATCTCTCAGATTGTGACATAGAATACGTTCGCTATTGCCTTAATAATAATATATTCTCATTTTGTACATGAGGGACGCCAGTTTACAGGCATCATCAATATGATAAATTACATATACGATTAGCAATCATAATAACAATGTTTTAATAAAATACATATTTTTTCCTACCTGCCTAGGACACACCAAATGTACAGGCATGGATAAGCATTATTCCGATTTCATCAATTTGGTTTATGGTTAAATTACATGGTTGCTGACATTTTTGTCTTTGGTTTGTGGGAACAATGTGATGATTAGTCGTTCAATGGAGCACATGAATTATAGAAATATTGACTTAGCATTAACAAAAACACCCAAGCATGTTTTGGTTGGATTAAAAATACTTGGGAAAAAATAAAGCTTGAAGTAATTCCCCAATATAACTTAGGTGTCTACAATACGAATCTCATTTTCGATTTATATACAAATTGGGTAATAAGAAAGCTATTTTTACAGATAATAATATATATTTCTTCCTGTTTATGCAGGAACATACCAATTGTACAGGCATGGATAAGTTATTATATAAATTACACATAATTTGATGTATGATGAATTTACAGTTTGGTTGTTCTCTCTGACATGAGAGTCAGTCGGAACAGTCTGCTATAAAGTCTGTGTAGCACATAAAGAGATATAGAAATATTGTCTTCGCATTAAAAAAAACCAGACATCAGATGAATGTAATACGGATATCTGGGAAAAAAAGCTTGAAGTCAATTCTC